TGTCCCCTTTTTGGCCACCCCAGGACCCCTCACAGCCACCTGTGTCCCCTCCTGGCCACCTGGGACCCTCCTAGCCACCTGGGACCCTTCCCTGGCCACCTGAGTCACTTTTGGGCTACCTGGGGACCCTCCTGGCCACCTGGGTCCCCTCCTGGCCACCCAGGTCCCCTCTCCAGCCACTCAGTGGCCCTTTCCCAGCCCCTTTCTGGCCCCTGTTTGTCCCCTCCCAGTCCCCTCCCAGCCCCTTTCTGGCCCCTGTTTATCCACTCCCAGTCCCCTCCCAGCCACTTGTGTCCCCTCCTGGCCACCCAGGTCCCTCCCTGGCCACCTGGGACCCTCCCCTGGCCACCTGGGTCACTTTTGGGCTACCTGGGGACCCTCCTGGCCACCTGAGTCCCCTCCCCAGCCACTTAGTGACCCCTTCCCAGCCCCTTTCTGTCCCCTTTTTGGCTACCCCAGGTCCCCCTCCAGCCACTTGTGACCCCTCCTGGCCACCTGGGGCCCCTCCTTGGCCACCTGGGTCACTTTTGGGCCACCTGGGTCCCCTCCAGGCCACCTGGTTCCCCTTGCAGCCCATTTAGGGTCCCCTCCCCAACCCCTCCGTGTCCCTGCCCGGCCCCCCATGTCCCCCCCCCCCGGCATTAGGGTCACTTCCCCTTTTCCTACCCCGGTCCCTGCCTGCCCCCGCCCTACCCCCGGCTGCGGGATTGGGGGGGTGGGGGTGAGGGGGGGGGGGTGAGTTTGTGGGGTCTCTGCCGGGCGGGGGGGGGACGAGGGCTGTGCTCATTGTCCCCCCCTGTCCCCAAAAGCGGCCCTGAAGCCCCGTCCACCCCGTGGCGCAGGAGCAGCTGATCCCACAGCATCCCTATGACATCCAGCAGGGTGAGTGGGGACGGGGGGCACTGGGGGGGGGGGACACATGGGGACACAGGGGAAGGGATGGGGACGGGAATGGGAAGGAGACACGGGGTTGGGGGACATAGGAGGGGGTCCCAGCGATGGGGACATGGATGGGGGGGTGACATGGGGGTGGGGGGAGGACATGGGGATGGGGGGAGGACACGGGGATTTAAGGGGATGGAGGGGACAAGGGGACAGCTGGGATATGGGGGCAGGAGGGGACAGGAGGGGACAGGAGGGGACAGGAGGACACGGGGCCAGGGAAAAAAAATTGGGGGGGACACCTGGGACCACAGGGACACCCAGGACCGGGGCTGAGGGGGGGGGTCACGCATGTGGGGTCACCATTTTGGGGTGGGCGACGCGTGCGTGCAGCGGGGCCACATGCCCACACCCCCCCCAACCCCATGTGTCCCCCCCCCTCCTTGTCCCCGTCCCCACAGTGATGCAGGAGGAGCAGGACATCGAGCTGCCCCCTGAGGTGGTGTCGGCGGCCAAAAACCCCCCCAGACCCCGGGCGCCATCGTCCCAGGATTCCATCGACGCCATCGGGCACTCGTCGTGGGGCAGCACCTTGGAGGGTTTCCCCCCCGCTTGGCCCCTTCCCGACGCCTTGGCCCAGCACTGCCGCGCCCCCGCTCTGTTCCCCCGAGCCCCCCGGCCCTCGTTGCCCCCCGCCGCCTTCGCCCACCTCCGCCGCCAGGTGGACGCCCTCGACGCCTTCTGGCCTCGCCTCGACGGCTGCTGCCGCCGCCCGGCCCCGCTGCCCTGTGCCCGCCGCGCCGTGAGTCCTGACCCCAAATCCGGCCCTATATCGGGGTGATCCCGTCTGACCCCAAATCCAGACCCCAAACTCTTCCATGGCCCTATATTGGGGTGATCCCGTCCGACCCCAAATCCGGCCCTATATTGGGGTGATCCCGTCTGACCCCAAATCCGGACCCCAAACCCTTCCGTGGCCCTATATTGGGGTGATCCTGGCCGACCCCAAATCTGGACCCCAAACCCTTTCGTGGCCCTATATCGGGGTGATCCTGTTCGACCCCCAAACCCCTCCGTGGCCCTATATGGGGGTGATCCCGTCCAACCCCAAATCCAGACCCCAAACCCCTCCATGGCCCTATATCGGGGTGATCCCATCCGGACCCCAAACCCCTCTGTGGCCCTATATGGGGGTGATCCCATCCCTATTATCCCTTTTTTCCCCCCCTCGCAGTGGACCGATGTCCTGAACAGCTTCTGCGACGACGAATTTGGGGTGAAAACGCGCCAATTCCACTGCTGCCGCCGGCACGGGGCCGCGCGGCGCCGCTGCTTCACCGACGCCACCGCCGCCGCCACCGCCGCCACCCACGTCACCCAAGTGACCGAGGTGACCGTGTGGGACGTGGCCCACGAGCCTTCCTTCCCCCCCGGCGAGCCCACGGCCGCCAACATGGACAACATCTGCCGCCTGCGGGGGCTGCGGCCCGGCCCCCGCGGCCTCCCCGGGCCCCGCGCCCGCTTCTACACCCGCCTGGAGCGCGACTTCGGCCGCTGCTGCGACAACGGCACCGGGCTCGCCTGCGCCCGTGCAGCTGTGAGTGACAAGGAACGGGGACACAGGGTGACACGGGTGTCCTAGGGGGTGTTGTGGATGTCCCCAAGGGTGATACGGGTGGCCTGGGGGGTGATATGGGTGTCCCCAGGGGTGACAAGGGTGGCCTAGGGGGTGATGTGGGTGCCCTAGGGGGGTGACATGGGTGACATGGGTGCCCTAGGGGGTGTTGTGGGTGTCCCAAGGGGTGACATGGGTGGCCTAGGGGGTGACACAGGTGACATGGGTGCCCTAGGGGGTGACATGGGTGTCCCCGGGGGTGACACAGGTGTCCTGGGGGTGATGTGGGTGTCCCCAGGAGTGACAAGGGTGGCCTAGGGGGTGATATGGGTGTCCCCAAGGGTGACATGGGTGCCCTAGGGGGTGACATGGGTGTCCCCGGGGTGGCATGGGTGCCCTAGGGGGGTGACACGGGTGACATGGGTGCCCTAGGGGGTGTCGTGGGTGTCCTGGCGGGTGATGTGGGTGCCCTAGGGGGTGACATGGGTGCCCTAAGGGGTGACACAGGTGACATGGGTACCCTAGGGGGTGTCATGGGTGTCCCCAGAGGTGGCACAGCTGTCTTGGGGGTGACACAGATGTCCCGGGGGGGGTGCCACAGCTGTTTGGGGAGTGTCACTGGTGTCCCAGGGGGTGGCACTGGTGTCCCAGGGGGTGACACTGGTGTCCCAGGGGGTGTCCCGGGGGGGTGACACTGGCATCCTGATATCATTGGGGTGGCGGGGAGGGGGACGTGACATTACCCTGAGGGGTCCTGGGCTATCTGGGGACCCTGAGTCCTTGTTGGGGGGGGGTGTCCCCATGGTGCTGGTGGCCGGGATGGGGACAGCCGAGGACAATCCCCCCCCCCCCTGTGACCCCCCCACAGTGGCAGAAGGGCCTGGATCGCTACTGCCGGGAGGAAGGGGCGGTGAAGACGGGGCAGCACCGCTGCTGCCAGCGGGGGGGGGGCCGTGCCCGCAGCCGCTGCTTCGCCGCCGCCGCCCCCCACCCTGCCTACGACCGCGAGCTGCACAACGTCAGCCTGGCCCGGCTGGGCCCCGCCATGCTCCGAACCCTCTGCGGCCCCATCAGGCTGCTCAGCAAGAGGTGGGTGTGGGGGGGGCACCCGTAAACCCGGGACCCCCTCCTCATAACCCCGGGACCCCCTCCTCATAACCCCAGGACCCCCCCCTCACTCATCCCATAACCCTGGGACCCCCTCCTCAAAACCCTGGGACCCCCCTCCCTCACCCCATAACCCCGGGACCCCCTCCCCATAACCCCAGGACCTCCTCCCCATAGCCCCAGGACCCTATCCCCATAATCCCAGGACCCCCCCCATAACCTTGGGACCCTCTCCCCATAACCCCAGGACCTCCCCCCCTGTAACCCTGGGACCCTCTCCCCATAACCCCAGGACCCCCTCCCCATCACTCTGGGCCCCCTTCGACATCTCCCTGACCCCCCCCATAGCACCAGGACCCCCTCCCCATAAACCCAGGACCCCCCCCGACATCTCCCTGCCCCTCCCCATAACCCCAGGACCCTCTCCCCATAACCCTGGGACCCCCCCCCATCTCCCTGCCCCTCCCCATAACCCCGGGACCCCCCTCCCCTCTCCCCATAATCCTGGGACCCCCTCCCCATCACTCCAGGCCCCCTCCAACATCTCCCTGACCCCCCCCATAGCACCAGGACCCCCTCCCCATAAACCCAGGACCCCCCCCAACATCTCCCTGCCCCTCCCCATCTCTCCATCCCCCTCCCCTAAATACCCTTGGGTCCCCCTCCCATTTCCCCCCCCAAAAAAACTCCCAGGGACCCCCCCCCCATTTCCCTTCCCATTCCCCTCAGGACCCTCCCACACCCCCCAAACCCCCCCCAAACCCCTCATCCCCCACCCACTGAATGCACACGGGGGTCGCAGCTGGGGGGGGGGACAGAGAGGGGACATGGGACCCCCCCTCAATTAATGCCCCCCCCCCAGACGGCCGGTACCGGAGCTGCTGGAGGCCGTCACCTCCTCCTGCTGCGCGTTGCCCCCCGAGGAGCAAAGCCCCTGCGCGGAGGAACAGGTGAGTAATTTTTTTTGGGGGGGGGGGGGGGCAAATTCTTAATTTTACCCCTCCCGCCTTGATGACCGTCCCCCTAATTAATTAATTAATGAATTAATTAATTATTATCTCCCCCGCAGCTGTCCCAAAGCATCGACGAGCTCTGCGGCTCCTGGCGGGACCCCCGGGGCTGCTGCTCGCGGGGGGGCCCCGAACGGCACCGCTGCTTCGCCGAGCGTTACCTGGGGGGGGTCCCCTTGGCCGCCGCCGTGCCCCCCCCGGCCCCCGACCACCTCCAGTAGGGCCCAGGCGCAATAAAAGGACGCGAGGCCTCAACCTGCTCCCGGGGGGGGTCGTGTTTTGTTTGCGGCTGGGGGGGATTTGGGGTTTTTGGGGGGGTGTTTTTGGGGTTGGGGGGGTGTTTTTGGGGTTGGGGGGTGGTTTTGGGGTGTGCCGGGTGTGTGCGTGTTTGTGGGGTGTCGCAGCGGGGTTGGGTCCCGCTGTGTTTGTGGAGCGGGGTGCGGCCGGGCCTGCACCCACACGTGTCCGGGGCGGGCCCCGTGGGGGCCCCCCACAGCACCACTGACCCCAACCGGACCCCTCCCAGTCCTCCCAGTAGCCCCAGTGCCGGCCTCCCAGTAGCCCCAGTACCCTTCCCAATCCTACCCCATGTACAGCAATCTCTTGGGGGGGGGGGACACAGGGGCAACCCCAACCCCACAGCTGCACCCATCCATTTGCCCCCCCCCCATTTTACACCCCCCACTTCTACACCCCCATTTTACACCCCAATTCCACCCCCCCATTTTACACCCCCATTTTACCCCCTGCCCTTTTCACACACCCCCATGCCTCAGTTCAGCCCCCCCCAAAAAAGGCTGCATGGGGTTTGGGGGGATTTAGGGGATTTTTGGGGGGGTTTAGGGGGATTTGGGGAGTTTTGGGGGGGTTCAAGGGGGGTTGGGGGCACTTTTGGTAGTTCTAACCCCCCCCCCCCCAGTCAAAATCTGGCTTTGCAGAGCACTGGAAAAGGTGTTTGGAGGGGGCACCGGTGATCCCAGTGCTCCCAGTGCCCTACCCCACCCCCCACCAGTGCTCCCAGTGCCCCCCCAGTGCCCTGCAGCCCCTCCCAGTGCTCCCAGTAGGCTCCCTGGAGCACAGCACCCTCTGCTGGGGGGGGCTGTCAGGGGGCAATCCTGCACACCCCCCCCACCCCCCATTGTGGCCCATGTGTCCCAGTATGGGACACCAGTACGGAACACCAGTACGGGATACCAGTATGGGACACCAGTATGGGATACCAGTATGGGACACCAGTAGGGAACACCAGTACGGGACACCAGTATGGGATACCAGTATGGGACACCAGTACGGAACACCAGTACGGGATACCAGTATGGGACACCAGTATGGGATACCAGTATGGGACACCAGTAGGGAACACCAGTACGGGACACCAGTATGGGATACCAGTATGGGACACCAGTAGGGAACACCAGTACGGGACACCAGTATGGATACCAGTATAAAACACCAGCATGGGACACCAGTATGGTACACCAGTAAGGGACACTGGTATGGGACACCAGTTTGGGACACCAGTTTGGGACACCAGTACAGGACACCAGTACAGGATACCAGTATGAGACACCAGTACAGGACATGGGACACCAGTAAGGGACACTGGTATGGGACACCAGTACAGGATACCAGTATGGGACACCAGTATGGGATAATGGTATGGGACACCAGTACAGGACATGGGACACCAGTATGGGACACCAGTACAGGACACCAGTATGGGACACCAGTAAGGGACACCAATAAGGGACACCAGTAAGGGACACCAGTACAGGACATGGGACACCAGTATGGGACACCAGTACAGGACACCAGTACAGGACACCAGTACGGGATTTGGGCCACCAGTTTGAGCCACCAGTACAGGACACAGAAGACCAGTATGGGCTCTGGTCCACCAGTTGGGGCCACCAGTACAGACTGGGCTGCTTTCCCCCCCGCCCCCCCAGGAGCTGCAGGCCCCGCCCCCCGGCGCCCCCCGTCACGTGACCGCTCCCCACGCGGTCTCGCGCGGGTTTGGGGGGGGTGGGGGAGGGGCGGGGGAAGGGCGGCGGCGCCACGCGGGGGGGGGGGGGGGATGGGCGCGGGTTCCTGGAAGCGGTCACGTGAGCGCGCGCCATTGGCTGGCGCTGTTGCTGGGCGGGGCCGGGCAGAAATAGCCCAGGCGGGAGGGACGGAGGGGGCGTGGCCACGCCCCTTCCCGGAAGTGCCGCGTTTCCATGGCAACGGGGGGGGAGGCCGCGGCCTAGTGGGGCCTACACCGGGCCCGAGGCCTGCACCGGGCCGGGCCCCGCCGCCCCCCAGAGCTGCCCCGGGGCCTCCCCTGCTCGAACCGGGGCCCGTGAGCAGCTCCCGAGGCCTCAGGGCCCAGCTCCGGAGCCCTCGGGGCCCTCCCCGCTCCCGTGGGCGGTTCCCGGGGCCCTCAGGGCCCTCCCCGCCCGCTCCCCATCCCCCCCCCCCCCCCCGGTACTTCCGCGGGCGTTCGCGGAACGCGGCCGGGCTTCTCCGAAAAGCCGCGGGGCAGGGGAAGCTCCGCTCCCTCCCCCTCGGTTTCCATGAAGGGAAGCAGGAGGCTGAGGCCCTCCCCGCAGCCCCGAAAGCCCGGCTGCAGCTGCAGGGCCCCCCCCCCAGCCGAGGCGGCCGCTGCTGAGCCCCCAGCCCGAGGCCAGCGTGGCCAGAGCCCGGCGGCTGCAGCTCCTCCACCGCCCCAGCAGCTCTCAGAGGCAGCCGCTCGTGGATTTTCCCCACCTCCGATGAATTTCCCTGGCTGGGGAAGGCCCCGAGAAGCAAAGGCAGGTTCATCGGGGGGTGGTTTTGGGGTGGTTTTCTGCCAAGGGGATCCCCAGGGCAGCAGCAGCCGAGCTCCCTCACACCGGAGGAGCACTGAAGGCCCTTGCTCTGCTCACAAATTCCACTCCTTTCCCAGGATAAGGGCAAATTCCATGCCAGGGGATCAAAAAAAACATTTATTGGCAGATCTAAGTGCTTGCTCAGCACACAAGCAGGCCTGGCGAGCGCTGCCCTCCAGCTCCCTGCTCAGGGTTGTCTGGGGCATCGCTCAGGCTGCAGGTCAAGCACCGTAGGCACATTCTCTCTCTCCCCTCTCACTTGCTCAGGGCCCCGTTCTGCGAGGCTGAGCTGCCCCCGGACCCGACCGATCCACGGCTGGAGCACATGGGGCTGGCCCTGGCGGAGGCACCGGGTTTTGGGTTCTGCTGCAGAACATTTACATTCAAACACCAGCTTGGTTCCACTCCCTGCTTACGGGGTCAAGATTAGAGGGGAGAGAAGGAAGGAACTGACACCAAGTTCCCCATCTACTAGAAGGAGCTAGAAAACCCCAAAAAAAAGGGAGATAAAAAATAAACAGGAACACCAAGTGTCACCAGCAAGCTGTGGGCACAACGCGAGCCCCCCAGGCCGCTGCTCCTTGCTGTGCTCCTTGCGAATTTGGCTCGGGTGCCTCTCTGAAGGGCTCACTCGGCGTCGAGGCCGAAGGTTTTGCTACAACCACACGAGGGACGAAGCACGGCGTGCCCCTAAGCAGCTCCGTCACGCTCAACCCCTTTACCTCTGCACTGTTAGCTCGGTAAAAAATGTACATATCCTACAGCTTGGACGTATTTACAGCTTCTTTACAGCTTTCTCCGCCCCATGGCTCTTTTTTTTTGTTGTTGTTTTGTAGTTTTTTTTTTTGTAAATACCCACAAAGTGCACTCCCTATTTTTAAACTGCCTGTGGTGCAGCGAGAGCAGTCAGACGGGGCAGCAGCTGCCTGCGGTCACCGCGCCGCGCCGGCCCCGCTCCGCCGCCTCCCTGCCACCTCCTGCCAGCCCCCGGGGGGGCTCCGCTCCTTCCCGAGGCGGCGCCGGGCTCGCACTCGAAGCTCTGCCAGAGGAGCTGCTCTCCCCAGGAGCACCAAGCTCTGAATATTTCGCTCCCACCACGCCAAGCTCAAGAGGCTTCAGTCCAGGCGAGGCTCAAAACTCCGGGGTAAAACCGAAGCAGTCCACTCGGGCTCTCAAACCGAGCCCATCCACCAAACTTCTTCCGCTTTTCTGCTCCCAAAAAGCGATAATCCTCATCGGGTCCCCTCTCACAATCCGACCGGCGCACGCCTCGCCTTCCTTCGGAGGAAAGGATCGCTCAGTGGGGGAGGCCTGGGGGGGTTCTCCTGGGGGGTCGCTCAAGTCTTGGCTTCAGAAATAACGCCCGCAGGAGGAAGCTCGCCAGCTCCACGCCAAGAGAGCCGGGCCACCCAGAGTTCCGCACCTCTGCGGCATGCCGGGGTTTCACCGGATCATGTAGGCCAAGCTCGCTCCCAGTCCAGCCACTCCTGCGAACGCCATCAGCACGTTCCTGATGCTGCCTTCCAGGTCTTCCACTCGGAAAAAGTCGACGAAACCCTCCTAGGGGGGAACAGAAGGCAACAAGGCACCGTCACCTCCCTGCCACGGCACTCCCGGAGCCGGCACGGCCACGGGGAACCCCGCACGGCTTCATTTTTAGGGCCACCACCGCCTCCTCCCGGGTGTAGGGTTGTGTTTTGGGGTCAGGGCCGCCCCAAACAGCCAGGGGAAAGGCGTTGCTGCCTCCCCGGCGCCCTGACTGTGGTTTTAACTGGAACAGTGACTCAACCCGCTGACACACGCGGCTGTCACCCGGCGGGGGCGAGGGAAATAGGAAAAGATCGAATTGTTCCAAAGGAAATAATAAATAAATAAAAGGGCCGGCGGGGCTGGGGCCGGGCGGCGTGACTCACCCAGCCTCCCTGGCTCACGAGCCACTCGCGTTTGGACGAGACGAGGGCGTCGGTGATGATCCTGGCCAGGGAGCCGATGCTTTTCTCCTGCTTTACGCTTTTCAGGTGCCGGGCGACGAAGGCGCCGAAGGAGATGAGGGTGACGACGCGCCCCCAGTTGGTCACCCCGTCGCTGAAGAGGTGGGCCGCCACCTCACCCACGGCCTGCAGGTCCTCCTCCTTCTTGATTTCCAGCTTCCGAAGCATTCCTGCAAGAGAGGTTGGCTCAGAGACTCGCAAAAAAAGAAAAATAAAGGCAGAAAAAAAAACAAAAAACAACAAAAAAAAAGAAACAAAACCCAAAAACCCCTTCTAGTTATTTCCCCCCACACCCCATGAGGGATCCGGGGGGCTGGCCCCGAGGCTTGGCACCGGCCCTGCCCCGTCGCCAAGGTGGGTGCAGCGAGCGGAACCACAAAAATTCCCCCGGCTCGACCTGCGGTGCCCCCCCCTCCCTCATGAATAAGCAAACAAACCCTCCCGAAACCGAAAGGCAGCGCTTGTTATTGCTCAGAGCCACGGGAAGCCTCCCTGCAGCCAGGTCCTTTGCTGCACGCACCAAGGGAACGTCCCAAATCCTCAACGGTGACCCCCCCCTGCTCCCCCGAGTGTGGTTTCCTTGCCAGCACCCCAAAAATTTGGCCGGGGGTGGTGAAACCCCAAAAATCTCGCCCAGCAGGGTGATGAGGGAAGGGGTGGGGGCCGGCTCGAAACCTTTTGCATTTTTTAAAAGTGCAACATCCTGCTGCGGGAGGGGCGGCGTCTCGCCGCCCAGCTGGCTCGGGAGCTCGCTTCTGAGTTGGGTGAAACCAGCCCAAAATGGTCAAATCTCCCCCCCGTCCCCGTGGAGCTGATCCCAAAGGGTTGGTACGTGCTGGTCTGGAAAAAATCCCGCTGCTGGGTTCTGGGAAAACAGCCCCAAAATGGTCGGTTCCGCCCCATCCCCAGGGGCTCGCTTCCGAGTTCCACAAAACTGACCCAAAATGGGCAGTTCCCACCACTCCCCGGGGACTCGCCTCTGAATTCCATGGAACTGACCCAAAATGGTCAATTCTTGCTGGTCCCTGAGAGCTCGCCTCCGATTTCCACAAAACTGACCCCAAATGGTCAGATCTCGCCGGTCCCTGAGGATTTATGGCTGAGTTACGTTAAAAGGACCCAAAACGCTTGGTTCTTGCTGGGCTTAAAAAGTTTCACTTCTGAGCTACGTGAAACCAGCCCAAAATGGTCGGTTCTTCCCCGTCCCAGGGCTCACTTCCGAGTTCCACAAAACTGACCCAAAATGGGCAGTTCTGAAAGGCCTCCAAGAAGTCACATCCGAGTTCCACGAAACCACCCCAAAATGGTCAATTCTGCCCGGTCCCCAAGGACTCGCCTCCAAATTCCACAAAAACAGCCCAACATGGTCCAATCTCCTCCATCTCTAAGATTTTCTCCAAGTTAAGCAAAACTGGCCCCATATGGCTGTTTTTTTTTCCGGTCCCCGAATTGCTCACTTCTAAAATCCACAAAACCGACCCAAAAAGACCCATTCTCACTGCTCCCCCAAAACTCGCCTCCAAGTTCCAAGAAACCAGCCCAAATTTCCCGTTCTCGCCGCTCCCCCAAAACTTGCGTCCGAGTTCTGGGAAGCCTCTCTGAATTTTCCACTTCTCCCCAAAAACCTCGCCCCAGAATTCCAGGAATCCCGCCCAAAATTACCCATTCTCACCACTCCCTAAAAACTAGCCCACGAAATGCAAGAAAACACCCCAAAATTGCCCAATTCCCCCCTTTCTCCCCAAGGACGAGGGGTTACCAACACCTCCACCACCTGCTCACCCGGGACCACCGGGACTGAGTTTTTTGGGGCAATTTCGAGACTGGACGAGTGGGAGGGGGGGGGTGGAATTTTTGGGGTGGATTCCGGTAAAACCACCGGGCTCGGGGCCAGGAGCGCGGGCGGGCCCCGTTTAATCGGTAACCGGGTTATCAGCGCCCTGCAGCCCCGGCCAGTTTCCAACCCCCCCCCCACCTCCTTTCGGGCAAAGTTCACTTTCGTTTCTGGCCGTTTTTAACGCGCTGGGCTCCGGGGGGGCCCTCCCAGCCCCCGGTAGACCCCCGTTAAACCCCGTTAAGCCCCGGTAGACCCCCGTTAAACCCCGGTAACCCCCGGTAGACCCCACTAGACCCCCGTTAAACCCCATTAAGCCCCAGTAGACCCCCGTTAAACCGCATTAAGCCCCGGTAGACCCCCGTTAAGCCCCGGTAGATCCCGGTAACCCCCGGTAGACCCCCGTTAATTCCCGGTAACTCACCTTGGAAGGCCAGCTCGTGTTTCTCCAGGACTCCGTCCCCCACCCTCCTCAACGTTTCCAGCGCTTTCTCCATCACGCCGTCCCCCGCCCCTCCGGGCCTTCCCAAAAGCCCCGGCAAAAACTTTTTCAAGCCCGGTTCCGTTTCCCCCGCCGCTTCCCGCAGATACCGGAGGATCAATTCCAACGAGTCCTGCCTCAACTCATCCGCGGGTAACTCCGGGGGGGTCCCCGGTAAGGACCCCCCCCCCCCTCCTCCTCCTCCGGGCCCCCCCAGCTCGGCCTCGGGCTCGCAGCCGTCCAGCTCCTCCTCGGGGCTCCACAACGGCGGCGACCGGGGAGCGGCGGAGCCAATCAGCGAGCGCGGAGCGGCGGCGGAGCCAATCAGCAGCGAGCAGGGGGCGCCGCGAGCCGCCGGGAACGGGGAGGGGGCGGCGGGACCGGAGAGGAGGGGAGGGGGGGGGGAAGAGGGGGAGGGGGGGGCCGGGGTCCCCCCCGGTGAGGCCGGGCCCCCTCCGCCGCCGCCCCCTCCGGGCCCGGTGCCGCCGCCGCAGTAGAGGTTGAAGCCGATGAGGGCGTTGCGCGGCAGGGCGAACATGGCGCCTACCGGAGAAGGGCCCCCCCGGGTGTTAAACGGCTTCGAGGAGCGGGGCCGGGAGGGCGGGAGGAGGCCGCTTATATACGGGGAGCCGTGACGCCAACCGGGGGGGTGGGGACTTGGGGGGCGGGGGGGGGGGCGAAGCCGGTTCCGCTTCCGGCCGGGCTCCGCCTCCCGGGGCCGGATCCTGGTTCCCTCCGCCCCCCCCCCCCCCCTCCCCGTTCTCTTGTCCCCCCCGCCACGTCCTCAGCCCCCCGAGGGGGGGGGTTGGGGGGTGGGGGGGGGGCACCGGGGGGTTTTTGGGGAACCCCAAATGTGGCTCGGAGGAGAAAGGGACGGGGGAGGCGCCACGTGGGGGCTGGATCTGCCCGTGCCCCCCCCCCCGGTGTCCCCGCAGCCCTCGTGTCCCCACCCCCGGTGCCCCCACACCCCCCTTATCCCCTATTCCCATTATCCCCACTTCCCTCATGTTCCCAGCCCCAGTGCCCCCCTCGTCCCCGTTATCCCCCACCCCCAGTGCCCCCACACCCCCAGTGCCCCCATCCCCATCCCCCGCACGGCCCTGCTGTCCCCACGCCCCCCTCGTCCCCATTACCCCCAGCCCCAGTGCCCGCACACCCCTGGTGTCCCCCCACCCCTATTATCCCCACTTCTCTCACGTCCCCATTATCCCCATCCCCAGTGCCCAATGTCCCCCTTAGCCCCCGTCCCTGTTAGCCCCACTTCCCTCATGTCCCCATCCCTGGTGTCCCCACACCTCCCTCGTTCCCATTATCCCCATCCCCGGTGCCCCCAAATCACCAGTGCCTCCATCCTCACTACCCACACGTGCCCAGTGTCCCCATACCCCTCATGTCCCCAGCCCCAGGGCCCCTCGTCACCATTACCCCCATCCCCATTGTCCCCTCATCCCCATTATCCCCTATTCCTGGTGCCCCCACACCCCCAGTGCCCCCATCCTCAGTGCCCCCATACCCCTGATATCCCCATCCCTGGTGACCCTCGTCCCCATTATCCCCCATCCCAGTGCCCAATGTCCCCATTATCCCCCATCCCTGTTATCCCCACACCCCTCATGTCCCCATCCCCTTGGGGGGACATGGTGTCCAAGGGGACAAGGTGTCCCCTTGTCCCCATTATCCCCCATTCCTGGTGCCCCCACATCCCTGTTATCCCCCATCCCCAGTGCCCCCATCCCCAGTGCCCCCATACGTCCCTGGTGTCCCCACACCCTCCTCACCCCCATTACCCCCTCCCCAGTGCCCCACCCCATTATCCCCATTCCTGGTGCCCCCACCCCAGTGTCCCATCCCAGTGCCCCCATACCCCTGACATCCCCATCCCTGGTGCCCCCTAGTCCCCATTATCCCCGCTTCTCCCACGTCCCCATCCCCGGTGTCCCCTTATCCCCATAAACCCCATCCCTGGTGCCCAATGTCCCCGTGACCCCATCCCCAGTGCCCCCTCATCCCCGGTGTCCCCATCCCAGTGTGAATCCACGCAACTGAGGGGCTTTGGGGCTCCCCCCCTGCACCCCCCAAAGCCTCAGTGGGATTTTCTGCCTGAAGGGGGGCACGATGCTGCAAACGGGGGCCAAAATTCGCCCCCATATCGCGTCCCCCTTGGGGAGGTGAGGCCGTGCCCCGCTGTCACCCCGTCCAAAGGCCACCTCGGTGCAACGTCAGCCCCGGCGCCGTGTCACCGCGACGTGACGAAAGCGGGACACCGGGCACGGGGCTGCGAGGAAAGTCACCAGCCCCCCCAAAAAAGGGCCGGGGGAATCCCTGCCCGACCCCGCTGCAGGTGGCCGTGGGATGGGGGAAACTCCACGGGGGATAAAAGGTGTGGGGAGGAAACCACAAGAGCCCCTGGGATGGGGTTTTCTCCTCCAGGTGGGGCAGCGAGGAGCCCGAGGAGCTGCCAACGCCAAGAACCCCGGGGTTTTGGGGACCCCAAAGCGCTGCCAAGTCCCCAAGTCACCACCCCAAGAGTCAGGCGGGGACAGGGGAGGAGGAAGCTGTGGTTACGCCTTGTCCCCACTGCCCTGACGCACTTCTGCCCCAAATCGTCAAAGAATTGGGGACGTGCATCCACCCCACGCGCCCCAACCCCATCACCGCCTCCCCTTTGACCCCATAAGCAGCAGGACGGGGCTGCTCCGGGGCCCGGCGAGGCAAATCCCAACCCCAAAACCCCTTCCCTTGGCCCCAGGGAACGCGTCCTTGTGGGGGAAGCGAATTCTTGGCAGCGGGAAGGGAGCTGGGTTTGTTCCGGCAGCGCCCGGCGGTGCCAAGCTCCGCGGCACAAACAAACCCGGCTGGAACAGCGCGTCCCGGCCCCGGCTTTGGGGTGGGGATCGTAAAAAAGGCCAAAAGGGGGGGGGAAACGGGGAGTGGGGGGCACCGAGAACCCCCGGTGCACAACCCCGGTGCTCGTTTGGAAGGCTGGAGGGGGGAAATGCCCCTCCTGGTGCCCCCCCCGGGCTGCTCAGCTGATTAATGTCATGTTAATGGAGCAGCTCGGCAAAAAGGGACAGGTCCCGGTGTCCCAAATGGCCCCCAGCACCCTACAGGGGGGTACAGGGGTGTTTCAGCCCCCCCCAAAAAGAAGGGGGATGAATTATGGCCAAGCCTCGCTCAGCCAACCCGCTGAAACCCCCCCCAAGGTTTTCACCTCCTAAGCTCAGCTCCCTCAGCCCCTCCTGCCTCAAAGAAACCCCACCGGAGCCCCCAAAAATGCCCCAGGACACCCTGACGTGGGGACGTGACCCCGCTCCACGTCGCAGTCACGTTCCGGAGCTGCTCTGGCTGCTTCTCATCCTCTGGCGTCACCGTCGCTTCCTCCTCCTGCGCGGGGGGGAAGTCGTGGTGGCGGAACTGTCCCCTCCCTGCCCCCACTTTGCCTTTTTCCCTATCTTGCCTTTTTTTTTCCTTCCCCCTTTTATTTATTTATTTATTTATTTTTTTACAAGCGCGGCACGCTAGAAAAGAGGGGAGATGAAGAAGTACAAAATTAGATATATTTTTATATATACGATTCGTTATCTATTTACAAACACAGCTGGGACAGGCAGCGGTGCACGAGGAGGCTGCGCAGCTGCTGCCCTGACCGGGCCACGCAGGGACCGGAGGGGAGCCCAGGACGTGGCTCTCCTGTCCCCACTCCGCTCCTCGTCCCCACAGAGGGGAAATCCCCTCCTTTGGGGTCTCTCCGGACCCCCCAGCAGCAAATGTGAGCGTCGAGAGCAGCCCCGGTGGTGCCGGTGCTCGGCACATCCCCGAGGGAAGCCGTACCTGTGCCGCCCGCTGCCTCCCTCCTGCGGTTTCTCTCCTGTCCCAAGGGGAATCCCTAAAGCCAACAGCGTCCTCTCGCCCTCCCCTCGCCTCTGGAACGGGGACAGAGCTCGGGATGGGATCAGCGCAGCCCTCGGGGCCCTTCCACTGACCCTACTACGACTGCGTGCTGAGCACGTGGCGCCCCACAGGCTGCAGCCCCGGCGCTGCCCTCGTTTTGTTTATCAAGCCTGAAACAAAAAGGCAAGAGGGGAGAAAAAAAAAAATAAATCAAAAAAAATCCTCTCTGCAAGCAGGGATGGTTCCCAACGGGGTGAAAACGAAGGCAGCAAACCGGCCTCCGACACCTCTCCTAGGGTTTGGTGTGTGTTTGCTGTAAATACTCATAAACTACGTGGATTCTGGTGCTCCCAGCCCTACGGTACAGTGAAGTTCAATCCAATTAACCAAAAGAAAAAGGAAAAACGGGGGGAAAAAAAATAAAATAAAACAGCCTGTGAGCGCAGGCTACCCGGCCAGCTTGCTGGTCACAAGCGAGGATTTTCTCTGCGGGAGGTCCTGCGGCGTGGGGATGTGATCTCCCGTCACCAGGTTCTTGTCAGGCCCCGCGCTGGGCAGCTGCTTGTTCTTCATCTTCGCCTTGGCCATGTTGTAGTCGCCGGAATCGAAGTATTTTTGCTGAAAAAGAGAAAAGAGGGAGGGTGGGTTAATTTGAAGAGGTTTGTAGCACTCGCAGCTGAGCGGCAGGGGCACGGCCAAGACGCGTGCGTGGGGCCAGAAATGAGATTCTTTACGGGGCTGCCAGGGCTGGCACACAAAACCAGACCACGAGGGGAAAAGGACAGCTGATTTCGCTCATCCTGCTGGCACAAAAGCTGGGTTTTTGCCCCAGGGAGTGCAGCCTGGCCCGCGGCAGGGCTTCTGCTGGCGCCACGCAGGTCGCAGACAGGATCCTGCAGCCGAAACCCAGCAGGGAAAAAAGCCTGCTGTGTGCCAAGCAATGAAGTAACCCTCTTTTTATTTTTTTTATTTTTTTTTTTGGCTTGCTTTAGGAACTGGCACCTAAAAACATCCCCAGCGTTTGTGTCGGTGACAGAGCACACGCAGAGGCCACAGGGATGACCGTCAGCAGGAGTGGAAGCCTCGGTGTGTTCGGAGCTGGGGAGGGATTTGTGATTCCTTGCCCCAGCCTCTGTGAGGAGAGCCAGCAGCAGCAGCCCCAGCAGCTACAGACGACTCTGGGAGAATTTTGTTGCTTTTCAGGGAGTACACGGTGATGTTTTACTGCTGAGGTGCATGCTGCCTGACTTGATGCCGTTCCCCCCTGCCCTTTGTGCCTGCCCAGAGCCTGGAGGCACCGAGGCCGCGGCCGGGCCGTGAGTACCCCTTTCTGCAGCCTCTTCATCAGGAAATCGGAGCCTCCAGGCTTCTGGCCCAGGTTGGGGTATTTCGCCTTCAGCTTCGCCTCCTCCGCTCGCTCGGGGTGGGCGAGCTCCTTCTCCTGCGCGTCCTGGAAAACGAGAGGGGGCTGAGGGGGGGCTGAGGGGGGTCTGGGGGGGCTGAGGGAGGCTGAAGGGGGGCTGAGGGGGGGGTGAGGGGGGTCTGAGGGGGCTGGGGGGGCTCTGAGGGGGGTCTGGGGGGGTCTGAGGGGGCTGAGGGGGGTCTGGGGGGGGTCTGGGGGCGCTGAGGGGGGCTGAGGGGGGTCTGGGGGGGAGAGGGGGGTCTGGGGGGGGGCTGAGGGGGGCTGAGGGGGGGCTGAGGGCCCCCAGCCCCACACCCCCAGTATCCCACAACCCCCCGCGCGCCCCCTCCACACAAGCTGCCCTTTTCCCCGCCCCTCCCGGAAGTCCCTCCTCCTCCCCCTCCTGCCCCGCAGCCAATGAGACGCCGGCGTTACTCAGATGGACAGCGGCAGCAAGCAATCACTGAGCGGGGAGGGGAAGATTGACGCGCTGCCCAGCCAATAGGGAGGCAGGAGGGCTCGCCGAGGGGGTTCCCACCTGTTTTTCCTGCCCGGGTTCCTCCGTGCGGGTGCCGGTGCCGAGCGGGGCGGCCATGGCGGGGAGCGGCGACCCCGGTGGATCCGCGCTGCCTCCGCGCTGCCTCCGCGCCGCCCGGCCCCGCTCTCTGCTCCAAAATGGCCGCTGCCGCCCCCTGCCGCCTCGGCAGTCTGACGGACAGGCGGCCGTCCAATGGGAGCGGGGAGGAGGGCGCGCTGACATCACCTCCAACCAATCAGCGCCAGCGTGGGGCGGGGAGAGGGGCGGGGCTTAGCCGCCCCGGCTGGAGCTGAGGGGGGCCAATGGGAAGTGAGGCAGCTTGAGCGGGAAGGCGGAACCCCCTCAGCTTGATTGACGCTGGAAAGAACCAATAGGCAGAAAGACTGCGGCCGGGGACCCAATGAGCGGGAGGGAAGGGCGGGGCTTCGGCTTGGCTGCAGGAGCAGGCCCGGGCGCCTCCTGGTGGGCCGCAGAAGCCCCTTGGAGCCCTCAGAGCTCCCAGTGCTCCCAGTACACCCAGTACACCCAGTGATCCCAGTACACCCAGTGATCCCAGTGTCCCCAAGCACCCCCACTGCCCCTCCCAGTGTCTCCCAGTGCTCCCAGTGTCCTCACTAGAGCATCGCCCTGATCTGGCCTCATGGCCCCATAGTGTCCCCATGGCCCCACCACAGCCCTGTGGCCCTATAACGTCCCCACGGCCCTACAGTGTCCCCATGGCCCTGTGCTGATCCCATGGCCCATCCTTTTATCATGTCCTGCAGTGTCTCCATAGCCCCCAGATGTCCCAGTTTCCCTTAGCACCACACTGTCCCGATGTCCCTGCAATTGTCCCCATGCCCCACACAGTCCCCACAGCCCATAATTTTCTCAAGTCCCACAATGTCTCCATAGCCCTGAAATGTCCCCATGGCCCTACCTTATCCCCATGTCCTACAATGTCCCCACGTCCCACGCTGTCCCCACAGCCCACAATGTTCTCAAGTCCCATAACGTCTCCATAGCCCTGAAACTTCCCCATGACCCTACATCATCCCCACGTCCCACAACGTCCCCAGGCTGTCCCCATGGCCCTGTGCCATCCTGACGCCCCTTTGTGCTGGGGGCTCCTTGCCCACGCTCCCCACAGGCACCGGCACCGACCCGCTGCTTTCCTGGCGACCCCAAGAAGGTGCCCACGAGGATCCGTGTCCCTGGGGACAGCCCCGGGCCCCACAGAGCAGCCCTGGGGTGCGGGAGCCCAGTTTGGGGTGTCCCAGTGCCACCACCAGCACCGAGGACCTTCCTTCCACCACCAAACCCTTTTATTAGGAGCAGTTGGAACCGCCGCCACTGCAAGTTATGGGTTTAAATACCCAGAAACACGTCCACATCCACGGCGGGGAGTCCAAGTGGCAGAGGAGGAAGGAAATTAATCATAATTAAAACGGAAAAAAAAATAAAAATAAAAATCACAGTGAGCTCATCCCCTTCTTGAAAAGCGCTGCAGGGCAGCACAGCCCGGAGGCTCGGGGCCACCCCGCAATTGCACACAGGGGAAGGAGGTGAAGGGGGGGTCCGGGCTGTTCCTGAGGGGGGTCTGAGCCCCTTCCCATTGCGATTTGGCCGGTGGGGCACCTCAGTGCTGCCACAGCAGGCATTCAGCATGGCCGGTGGCCGTCACCTCTGCTCCCTGGGGGCAGCAGCCTCTGTTGGCAGCGGTCCCGAGGCCTCCTGCCCCCCACCACCCCATGCCAAGGGAGCCCGTGGCCTCACGCTGAGGCAGGCGAAGCTCTGCCGCCCACCCCGCAGGGCCTCAAGCCTTGTTGAAGGCCGCCAGGATGGCCCAGATCATCTCCGTGCCTCTGTTTTTGGCAGCTTCCACCTCCGGATCTGCGTCAAGGACCTCCTTGGTCCTGTTCATCGCCGCCTCGTACCGCTCGTCCGTCAGGCTGCTGAAAGCGTTCTCCAGCACGTCCGAGGAGTGGGCGAGCACCAGGAGAGCCAAAGTCCTGCGGTCCATGCGGTGCGGGTCGCCCGCCCAGCGCTCCAGCACGCCTTCCTGCAGCCTCTTGAGCAAGCGTTGCTTCTCGGCGGCGTTGCTGACGGGGTGCGTGGTCATGTCGAAGAGGAGGAAGTTCTGCTTCTCCGTGGTGAGGATGCCTTTCTCCACCAGGTTCTTGGCGATGCGCTCGCGCACGTTCCGCAGCTGGTACTGCAGCTTGAAGGGGTTCCAGGTCTCCCCTGAGGAGAAATAAACCACGTTGGAGGCTGGGTGGATGGAGCCTGGCTCAGCCCCAGGCTGCCTGGGGGAGCTGGGGGTGCCCCATCACTGGGGGGCAGCCCCAAGGCCAGGCTGGATGGGGCTGGGGAGGAAGGAGTGGTGCCCATGGTGGGGGCAGGAATGAGGTGGGCTTTGAGCTCCCCACCAACCCAACCCAACGCAACCCAATCCAACCCAACACAACCCAACACAACCCAACCCAACGCAACCCAATCCAACCCAACACAACCCAACTCAACACAACCCAACGCAACCCAACACAACCCAACGCAACCCAATCCAACCCAACGCAGCCCAAACCAACCCAACGCAACCCAACAAAACTCAACACAACACACAACTCAATCCAACGCAACCCAACACAACCCAACACAACCAAACCCAACCCAACGCAACCCAACCCAATGCAACCCACGCCATGACTCTGTGCCTCCTCTTGCTGGGCCTACCCGTGAGCAGCTCTATCCAGGTCTGCACCGTTTCTGCAGGCTCCGTGGCCTTGATGTGCCGCAGGGTCTCGTCCAGCAGGATGTCACCAGTTGGAGCGTCCGACTTCAGGTGCACCTGGGAGGCCAAAAGGACCGGGAGCCATCAGGCTGGGACGCGGGCAGGCACTGAAGCACGCCACAAAGCCACCGCGGGGCATGTGTATGCATGTGTGGGGGACACACAGGATGGTCGGCACCCATGGCACCGCCTCAGCCCTTCGGCCCCATCGCTGCCATCACCTTCCTGTCCAGCAGCCGCTTCTTCCTGGCGGTGAGGGGCTCCAGCTGGATGCGGCCCCGCAGTGCCAGCTCGATGAGGATGCCGCCGCGCAGGCCAGAGGAGATGCAGTCGTTCCAGAAGGAGGTGTAGCCCTGCGGGGACAGGGACACATGTGACGCCGGGGACAGGCGGCCAGAGCCCCACTGCCATGTCCAGGGACCCCCACCCATGGGAGCTCCCGAGTCCGTATGGTGCTGGGCAGAGCACTGAGAAGGTGCAGGGGGCTGGAAAGTGTGGTCCTGGAGGGACTGCTGGTTGCATGGGGTTCTCAGACTGGGAAGGGAAGGTCTGGAGGCCGGATGAGGGGCCCCAAGGCTTAAAAGCCAGCTGCAGAATGAAGGGAACGGCCTCTTCTCCGCCTCCACCATGTGGCAGACGGGCTAGGGCTGAAACTGCAGTGGAAGAGATTCAGGATGGCCCCAAACTTGCTGTGCCCAAACGGTGGATGGGGCTGGGTGCTGCGCCCCATTCCTGGCCCTCGCTCCCTTTCCTTGGAGCTTTTCTTCGAGAAAATGGGGAGGAAGGGGGGAAAGGGCAGCTCTAACCAAGCTGGGGGACCGCAGGCAGAGCAACCCAAGAAGCCCTTCCCAAGGACAGGAAGGCCAAGAGCTTGTGGCCTCCTACGTAGAAGCTTTTATGGTCCATACGGGCAACCTCCTGTCCCCAGCGCGTCTGTTTGTACAGCGCATCTGGACACCGGGTTGTTCAGCTTGCTCAGCACAGGGAGTCATAAAATAAATTAAAGCCTTTATTTGCCTTCTTCATTTCCTTGTGAGCGAAGACAAAGCAACCCTTCACGCTTGTCTTTGCTAAGACGTGCTGATTTCCTTCCACTGTGGTGTTTTTTTTTTCTTTGCACGTGCCCTTTAGGAACCAGTTCTCTGAAAAAGGGCATGGAGGTTACCGAAGGTTTCGGTTCATTGGGCTGGAAGGCACATTTCGCCCCGGAAATTTTAAGGGGGCTGAAATAAGAGAAATTGAAAGCTCCTTGGGTAATATCAGCTCCCGAAATCAGACCGGTCACGAATGCTGGTGTGCAGCCAGTGTCCCCTACGTGGACAGACTGGTACTTAAAATAATGAAATTGCACTGGGGGCTCATTGGGTTTGGCTAAAATCATCTTTTTCATTATTCTATTTTTTAATTTTCCCCTGCTCATCAAACCATGGGGGTGGGCCGTGAGGCCTGCTGCCTGCGCCTTGCCTTCGGGTGGCAAAACACGGAAGGACAGGACAAAAAACAAACGAAGAAAGCGTGAGACAAGTCCTTCTCTTATCTATTTTGTGCTCTCCTCACTTCCTGGTGGCTTCGGGGCCGTTCCCAGGAATTCGTAAACCGCACCAAGAATGCTCAACGTAGCCCAGGCAGGAAGGAAGCCGGGCCACGCTGCTCTCAAATATTTGCTCCCAAGTTATTTGCGTGATGCTCCCCGGGTAGCCCCGCTCTCCTGCTACTCCCTGCTGAGCTTGCCAAGCCCTCAGCCCCCCGTCCCTGCCAAAAAACCACGGCCAGAGCAGGGCTGGGGGGCATAAGGTGCCTGACCAGGCTCATTCAAGGACCACCAGGGCCCCAGGGGATGGGAGCACAGGCACCTCGCACCCCTCTGCACTTGTTGTTGCCTCAGGAAGCACCTCGGGCTCCTGCTGAGCCCCCCCTTGCCTCATTTTCCCCATTTTGGCGGAGGGGAGGGGCCGTATTGCCGTGCCCCAGGAGATCTAGATGCAGGCACTTGACGTGTAGGAAGCAGAAAGGTGCCGAGCGGGGCCGGCCCCGCTGTGGGGGCTGACAACCAAGAGCCCCGATCGCCCCCGGTGCTGCTCGAGCAGGGAACGGCAGCCACCGGGGAGCTCCTCCTGCTCCAGCCGCTTTCTGTCCCCTTGCCCCCTTCCCTCAAAACCTGTCCCTCGTCGTTTCTCAAAGAGGGTTTTGGCGAAGAGCACACGGCGCCGGGGCATCGCTGTGCTCCCGTCGGGGCTGCCACACGAGGCTGTGGGTTTCCCCGAAGCCTCATTTTAAGACCTTCGGCCTCGCTTTACCTGCTTGTCCTTCAGTCCCAGGAGCAGCACCTCCTCCATCAGCGTCAGGCGGGTGCCTTTGGAGTCATCGTCCTCCTCCGGGTCCCTCTCTTCTTCCTCGTCATCCAGCCTCTTGCCCACGCTCCCACCCGCCTCGCTGCGGCGGCCCCGGTGGGTCAACGTCGTCATCGTCACCCGTGGCCGGGCCGAGGACCACGCACAAGGGCAGGGGGCTAGGACCCCCCGGGTGGCCTCCGGAGGTGTCAGGGAGCCTTTGCCCTGTTTCCCCGGGGGATCGCAGTGATGGCTGGACGGGAATCACCGTCGGGGAGCTGCCACCCGTTGCCCCGGGATGGGGTTGAAGCCGGTGGTCGCGCTGCCACGGAGCTGGCGGCGAGACATCAGGACGGCGACCGAGCCTTCACGCCCCGGGGACCCCCGGCTTGGCCATGGGGTCAGGAGCTCGGTTCAGGCCCGGGGAGCGGTGGCAGCCCCCCCGGGGGCAGCCCGGCTTCTTCTCGGGGTTTATCCTGGGGGTCTCCAGGAGCTGAGCTCGGAGCCTCGCTGGGATGGCCGGAGAGTGGCTGGGGGCGAGGGACGGGGCTGGGGAAGGAGCCTCGGGGCTGGTGCGGGAAGCGAAGCCGGGCCAAAGCTCCCCGGGCTCCGGGAAAGGCCAGCGGGGGGCCGGCACCGGAGAACGAAGCCGCCAATGAGCACCGGGGGGGCGGCCCGGGACGGCCCCGGGGGGGGCGGTGCCGGCTGCGGCCGGGACAAGGCGTGTGCGGGGCGTGCAAGGAGCGTGCAGGGGGCGTGCTGCTTGTGCAAGGCGTGTGCAGGGTGTGTGGTGCTTGTGCAAGGCATGTGCAGGGGGTGCAAAGTGTGTGGTGCGTGTGCAAGGCATGCAAGGGGTGTGCTGCTTGTGCAAGGAATGGGCAAGGTATGTGCAGGGCAGGCAAGTGGCATGCTGCTTGTGCAAGGTGTGTGCAGGGTGTGCAAGGGGTATGCTGCTTGTGCAAGGCATGTGGTGCTTGTGCAAGGCGTGTGCAGGGTGTGCAAGGGGCACACTGCTTGTGCGAGGTGTGTGCAAGGCTCATGGTGCTTGTGCAAGGAGCGTGCAAGGCATGTGCAGGGCATGCAAGGGACATGCTGCTTGTGCAAGGTGTGTGGTGCTTGTGCAAGAGGTGCACAAGGCAGGCAAGGGGCATGCTGCTTGTGCAAGGCATGTGGTGAGGTCTCCACCAACCCAACCCTTTTTCTGAGTCTGCGGTCAGGAGCTGCAGAGGAAATCCTGTGAAATCACACCGCAAAGCCGACAAAACCAGCTGGTGCTAATTAAATCCTGCTCACCCGGTTCAGCGCTGAAGAGAACTGCGGGGCTGCGACCCACACCTTGACCCACTCCTTGCTGCAGGTCACACGTAGGGCATGGGGCAGCACCACGCCAGGAGCTGGAGATCCCCCTGGGGCTGCACCGTGCCTGTGTCCCCACTGCCCGGCCAAGGAAAGTTCCACATCCGCGGGGTTTTGCCCCATTTGCTCTTTTCCTGCCTTTCCTTAAGACCACGAAGTGCATCCCGATCAGAACAGTGAAAGAAACACACAGCCACACAGTTGAATGCTGCTTTAATGGAGAAATAAGATAAAAAGATGTCAGTTTAAATTCAAATGTATCAAGAAATGCTCAGCTATCCACATCTGAACACAGGAGCTGTGCAACAGCTTCCCTCCAATTCTTTTATACTACATGAAAAAAGAACAATTATTTTGGCAGAACAACTCAAAACCTTTTCCAATTCCTGCAATTAATCATTTCGGATACATTCAGGCTTCTCTTTCAACTCATCTCACACCCTGAGAACCGGTGCCTGCCAGGTTCATACCCTTTGTAAATATATATGAACAACTGTACACAAATCCTGGTATTTTGGCAAGAAATACGTGGTTAAAGGTATGGAGAATGCTTGCTTATTGTTTGTCTGGTGCCTTTGGTCTGGAAAGAATGAATCAAACATCCGCAACTGTTCCAGATCTGCTTGCTTTGTAGTAAAACCAAGAATTGTAACACAGCTTAACAGCTTTCTTAAACTTGCTCCAGAAATTAAGAAAACCTGCTCCAAAAATTAACGCCGAGACTCGAGGATTTTGGGCCCTGGAGGGCAGGTTGTGACCAAGGAGCTCCTCAGCTTTGACATACAGCCCAGAAAATGTTACCAGTGAAATCTCACACTGCAGGGTTTAAGCACGTTATTAGCAGGGAGCCCCCATTCCCCAAATAACCTTCGTTACAGATTTTTTCATTTTTTATCCCAGAGTTACACATCAGTAGCCAGCCTCTGTCATTCCTTATGGGGATACAACCTCCTACAGAAAGGAACTTCTGATTTACTCCACATGGCTTCTTGGTAGATTTTTCCTTAGAACCCACAACAACTTGACTACAAATAGAACAAGGTCCCTGAAAGAACACTGAAATATTAACAATCTCATTAAACAACCAAAGGGAAGTGGTGTGGAGAAGCACCCTAGAATCCAACAGCTGGGAGAGGGGTGTCTAAAACTGCTCCTTCGGCTCACTGATTTTCCTCCTTTTTGGCAGCACGTCTTGACTGGAAGAGGGTTCGGGCTGCAGGGAGAAACCAGGCACAGGGTTACAGGTCGTGGTGCTGCATGGGCTGCTCCTCGCTGCCACCACATCCAACCAGAAGAAAATCCACCCCAAACCTGGCTGTGCAAGGTGCTGAGCACCCAAGCTCCTGCTGCTCCCCACTGCTCAGAGTTTTTTTTTTTTCTTAAACACCCAGAGCAACATCTGGGCACCGAAGTTTTTACAGCACAACCTCCCCCAGCGGCAGGGGAAAGAGCAGGGGATTTATTTACACTACAAGGGCAGTGCCCCCACGTGCTGCAGCTTCAGGCAACGCACCCCAAGCCCGGTTCCTGGAGCACCGTGCCACCTTCTGACCCCCACCTGGGCATTTCTGACTTGCACACGTATGACAAGGTGAGTTTAGCCTCCAGCTCTGCAGCACCTCTGCTCGTTTAAAGCAACTGCCTCGGCTAAATTCTAGCATTGTTTCATTTTTTCAGCATGAACTGTAACAGAGGTTGGAGTTTTATTCACTGCTTGCAATAGGAAAAAAGTCTTAAAGAACAGAAATAGAAGAAAAGCTGATACTAACGATGTAGGTTTGAAATATCTTCCCGCTCCTTGTCCTGCTCTCTGACATATTCAGTTCAGATGTCTTACTTGCCAAATGATCAACCTAAAATGAGAAGATAAATGTTTGCTTGTGACAGCAGTTGTTTTTTTTTTTTTCCCCCAGGGAATATAGTCTAAGTTTAAAGCCTGAATAGTAAGGCTGTATCTTAAGTTTTAATCAAGATCTTAAAAATCAAGTTTTCACCTGCTGGAATTAGAAGAGAAATTTCTGTTAGGCAGAGTGCTTATTTATGGCAATTTACAAACATGGGAAATTGCTTTTCCATTTCTTGTAGCCTCAGTCAGCCCAACTGTTTAGTTTGGAAACTGATCAGAGCGCCAGCCTTTGGTTATTCCTTCTGATTGCTGTAGAATATTCACCAGTTTTGTAAAACACTGGGAATTAAAATCGTAACGTGCTCTACTGCTGAAAATACTGTTTTAAATAAACCTTCAGCAGATTACTGATTAATCACTTGAGTTAACTCAAAATACGGAGTTCAAAGCTTCACAAAAGCTCTAGTAAGAGTTGAAGCTGGCAGAGTGGTTTCCATACCTGGCGATTGGAAACGTACACACTCCTGTTCTCTCCAGCCTTCGTAACTTCATCTCCTCCACCAGGGACACCCGGTTCTGTAAAAGTTGTTAAATAAAGCACACAGTTGACCAGGCACTAACAGCCTCTTACCACTGCAACACTTTGACACGAGGAAAATGCACGGTTTTATGTGACACAGACTCACACATGCTCCTTGGAAGGATGGGCTCGATCCCCAGACTCTCGATGTACTGCTCAATGCCCATCTACATCACACCTTGCTTGCGAGGATAAACCCTCACGGGTTGGTTTTGCACTTCTGGCACGCTTCTACCCATCCCAAACCACTGTCAGCAGGTGGCTGGTGCTTTGTAACCTGGCCACACACAGCCGAGGACCTCTGCCTGCAGCTTCAGGTCACAAAGACCAGGCAGGAGGAGGAAAGAATGAGCTCTGAGAGCTGGAGAGTTTTTTTTTTTTAATTATTCTTTTTAATTTTTTGCTTCTAATCCACTGTGTTTTTTTCCTAGGATCCCCACATAAGCACAAACTGGTTAGAGGTGACAAACAGGTTCTTCAGAGGGGGAAGTGACTAACTGAACTATTTCTGGATGACAACCGCATTTTTCTGACAGTCTGGCAGGTCCCATAAAAAAGCATTTTACCAACCCTGTAAGACAAGCTATTCATCATACTTTTACATTATTATTTTTTTTGAATTCCTGTGAATTCTACAAGCACATAAAAGCTGCATAGCTTTTCGTGGGTATTGCAGTTCTGCAGCCTACTAACATCAAGAGAAGTGGTTTACGTGTGCTCTTTCCTACGCATTTCCGTGATTATTTTTCAACAGCACGGGGATATTAAGCTGTTTTTGAGAAGTTGCACCTTTCTGAAAAACAACTGTGATGCCGCTATTTAAATACACAGATGTGCTTCATAGAACAAATCCAGACTAAAACAAAGGCACAGCGATGGGCATGAGGAAAACACCACAAATCTGGCAGCCTACAGCAGAAAACTGAGTATTTCTTTGAGTAGCATCAGGAAAGAGGCACAAACTGAAGAGACTTGGAAAACAGATAAATTTTACCTTGAGCTTCCAAAGTATTCACGCGGTTATCATCATCTTCCACTTTATTATCTAACACGGGGTCTTCCTAGATAAAGAAACGGGTCTGTTACTTACAGCAGACATAAAGAAAAGTTTCTACTCACAAAAAAGCTTTGGAACAGATCTTAGCAGATGGATTCTTGGTGAAATGAACTGCTTTAAAATAAAAGAATATGATATGGGACGTACAGACTAGCTCAACGTTAGTTATCAATGCAGGCATACATTTAATTCAATTACTGAAAAACATGTCCAATTGTGAAAAATGTGCCCAATTGTGGAAAAACTGTAACAGATGCTAGGAGAAAACCATCAGTGCACCTTTGTATTGCTGGTAAAGCAGCGATGGAGCCGTGCACAGAGGTAGGGGGCTGCCAAACAACTGCTGGGGAGGCCTTGGTAAGGAGGATGAGCCAGAAGCCCTGAAGCTCCTTTCTCACCTATGGCCAGTGTGGAACAGCAGAGGATTTCTGCACCCAACAGCCCCTAAGTGTTCCCTGCTGCCTGCCCAATGCTCAGCGCCATCTCAGAGGCTCCAACACCAGCAGGACGTGAGAGTCTGTCAGCATGTTCAGATTTGGCTGTGCTTTTCCTGACAGAAATCCCAATCCAGAACCAAACTGAGCCGCAGCATCCCCAGCTGGGTTTACCCCGCTGTCCAAGAGCAAATTCAGCCCTGGTCAGCACCGCCTGGCCGCAGGGGATGGCTCAGGAAGGGCACGGGACAGCCACAGGGAGGTTTCAGGGTGGCTGGAGCTGAGCAAGCAACCAAATGCACCCACAGCACACCGCTGCTTCCTCTCTTGCTGCTCCTCTCCTGCCTCAGAGGGCTGCACAAAGCACGTGAGCTCTTACATCCATGTGCTGGTTTTCTTCTGGATCATCTCTGTCCACTCTGAGCACCTGGAGAGGCTGATCAGTATCTCCTTGCTTCAGTATGCTCTCATCGGCGTTTTCCATCCTCTGTTTGTCAGTTGTCACTTTGACTTTCAGCATGTGGAAAGGCGTTGGCACTTCACCCATGCTAAGGTGCATGGGCTCTCCCTCAAATATCATCCCCTCACATTCACCCTCCTTAAAACCAGGAGGCTGGTAATCAGGTGGTGTAACTGTAGGGAAGAACACACGAAGCGTTGCACTGCAACAAAACATGCTCTTGTCAAATTAACCTCAGCTCCTGCAGCTAAAAGACTTTTCTTCTTTTTTTCCCCCACTGAAATCCTTGCTCCAATGAAGTCAGTTGTAAGATTGTACAGTCTGTACAGAGATCAGATCTGTGCCCCTTGGATTTTAGAACCTGTCCCAAGAAATAATTAAACACGGGAAAATTTAACAAGTCCCAGCCACCACGAAGATTATAGGTGGAAATATTCTTTGTTTTCAAATGTCTAAGCACAGCTGATAAATTAATCAGGAACACACTACCTTCATCGTAATAAAACAGCTTCATGGTCAGGCAGACATCATTTGGTAAGGGACCTAGGTTTTGCATCAGAACGTAAATCTTGCGAATGAGGAGGATGCTTGCCTTCTTGGTGTCTGCACAGGCGATCGGGGAATCACTCCCTTTGCTCTTGCTAGAAATGGACAGAGTGTTCAGCTTTTTTATACAGAATGGTTTCAGTGTTATAATACACAGACACGTTGGAGAAGTAGACATCCCATTTCTGAGATCACAAGGGCTGCAGCTCCTACCACCACCGAGGTGAGCTGCGTGCTCTGTCCCTTGTGAGATCAAATTCTGAGCCAGGAACCTCAGGGAAGCGTTGGGGTGCAGCAGTTGTGCCCTACAGCTATATTTTAGGATTACACAATGCTTAAAAACAGATCTGAAATAGAAGCTGGTACATTTGCAAGCCCCAGTCCTACTAGGTCTCTCACACCTGTAGTATTTCAGGGGCTGCGAGTAACACTCCTGACTTTAACAGGGAAGGTTACTGATAAGGGAAGATGCCTGAGGGACTCCTGGCATCTGGCTCTGCAACACCCAACTCTGTTCTCCAAGCAGCTGCCCCAAATTCTACCTTACTGTCATTAAAAACAGAGAGGTCTTGCTCTGCTGCCACTCCCTGCTCCCTCCTCCTCACAGCCACCTTCCCAGCCGCATTCCCTGGAACTCATTAACATCTTTACAAGAGCCTGATCATTTCCCAGAAATAGCCCAGGTCAGAGAGGTGTCAGAGGACCTGAGCAGCCAAAGGCACGTGAGTTATTTCACAAGGCACACGGCCTTTCGGAGGCACCTGAAACAGTCTCAGATGTGTTTCCCAACCCCGCAGACATTTCTCTTTCCCCGCAGGGTGGCAAGGAAGCTGGACTTGTTTTCGAATCAGCACAAAACCAGCCTGCAGTGGCTGCCTCCCATCTCCTGCCACCACGCGACTTTCAGAGGTACGTAACCAACCTCAGGCCAAAGGATTGCAGCACTGCAGCCCCCTCCCTTTTTTTTTAAGTTTAGAAATCATTTTATGTCAGAGAAAAACTGGAAGGAGTACGTTACGCAAGGAAAGAACTGGTCACGTTTTGGTATTTGTTTAGAACAAGTTACTTCCTTGTAGCTAAGGAACATTTTTTTACTGCATATTTCACAAATATCCTCACGACACACTAAAACAATTCACTGTATTTTAAAAAACAGCCTAACTAATAAGGATGCACTGATAAAATCAGTCGTAAGATCCAGATTTAGAGGAGCAAAAGCCAACCAGAAAATCTGAAGCTCTTACGTTCAGGTTGGTGCATGCAATGAGCTTTAAAACCACAGAGCAGAGCAGTGGGGACAGTACCTGCTGAAATTCAGGAGTGGCCCGTTGTGGGTATACTTGAATTTGAAGTGATAACATTCAGTAATTGTCTGCAAACAAACAGCAATTATTAAAGATGTCAAGCAAACAGCTCCTGCTTCTACTCAGGCACCTGATAACTTGGTATTTAAACAAAATGATGATAGCTCTTAGCTCCCAGCCTGAAATACAGCATGGGAATACTTCAACAGTTTTAATGCACGCTATATTAATCAAATCAAATATCTAAAGTTCCCCCCTGGAATCACCACAATGAAATATTTTACAGGAAACTTTAGTAGAAATTTTTATTATTAAATATTCTATCCACATTTTAATTGCTATGGAACTATTTCACCCAGCCCACAGACAGGGGGACAGTGGTTAGTTATGGATTTTCCCCACAAAGAGCCAGGGGTTTGTTGCACAGAGTTAGGACATGCACTGGGGAGAAAATTCAGTCCTACTGCTTGTATACAGGCAAGCTTCACTCTGCCTATCCTGTCATTAGTCATCAAGGAAATTATTCTAGTAGATTTACCTGAGGATCTTCCGGGTGGGTATAGACCTGGATTTTTAAAAATAAAGACAGGAAGCAGATTAGGAACTGTACATACATCCAAGCACGGATCCTTAAAGTAGTGCCTTACTTCTGATGTACTTACCGCTAGGACAATCATTCTTAGCTGTTGGAAACATAATCAAAGCAAAAAAAAAATATTAGATATACTCTACAGCCTTTTTCTGCTTACCAAGCTGTTTTGTTTTTTTAGCTCTCAAAACCAATTATGACCACTGGAGGCCTATTTGAAGGAATCTGAGCTACCCTGTAACCAGAAAGTCCTACAACTACAGTGGCAGGCAGTGGAATTCTATAAATGAACATTCCCATACCCTTAAAAAAAACAACAAATGATACTAGAAAACTTACATATTTCTTCTGCAAGGCATCATAGCATCCTAACATCCTGCAAAAATCAAATAAGATTGTCCATCTAGTCCTGATTAAAATACTCCCACAGAATTAAAGTATTTGTGCACTCTTACTACTGCTGCAGCAAAAATAATGCTTATTCCATCACGTCTTTTTTTATTAGTAATAACAGTTTTTTACTTACCAAGTAAAAATACGATCTATAAGGAAATAAAACAAGACAATTGGATGCTTATCAGTGTCAAATTTTATATATGGATTCACAAATCAGTGTATGAATACTTCAGCTGAACATCTCTGAAGCACAAAGGCGTTATTACTTAGCTGCTGGAATTTTGTTTTCCTGTAACATGCAAACAGGACCCCAAAACTTACTGTAATTGCCCCTGCAGTTCTTTTGAATGTGGTCAACGAGCAGGCGTTACTTTTGGCACGTCCACGATGCTGAGTTACAAAACTCTGCTCACCTGTAAGCAACAAAGGGCTTGCACAAGCCCTTGCCAGCATCCTCAGGCTGCTGTGCCACTGCCCTTGCATGCTAAGGCTTGGTTCCCATCTGAGTGACCCAGTCACACCTCCAACATCGCAGCTCAGCATCTCCAGCACCTCGCAGCGACTGCCTTGAAGCCCCAGCTGCTGAACTGCTTTGTTTCTAAATGCTCACCCTCTCATTCTGGTGTAAGCGTGAAAATTGAGAGGTCCTAAAATCAGGAATGTGTCCTCTCAAAGCCCTGGTGCAGCTTGAGCTCGACCACAACACGTTCAGTGCATGGGCAGTGACTCCAGTTTGTTTCCTAAAGGGTTCGACGCAGCCTGCAGCGGGGTTAAATCCCCTGCACGAAATTGCTGCGCCCTTTCCTCTACCCTGCAGGACCGAGAGGACCTCGGGAGTCACCCAAACACTTCTGGAAGGAAACCAAAGCCACACCTGGAGGCACCCAGCAGTGAAACAACTGCAGGCAACACCCCAGTAACCAGAGGGCATCTGAGCAGTGAGGAAGTTGGAGGTATTTAAGCCCATTCTGCAGCAGAGCTGGGGAGGAATCCATTTCCCCAGGCAGACAAGCAACACCCCAGGTGCCCTTTGCCTCATACACACCTTTCTAAACAGCAGGGAGGGCAGCCAGGAACCAACCTCGTTGAGAACAGAAAGGAAAACGATAAATACCTCGAGTCCCAGCTGAGGCACTCGACTGGGTGAACGTGCAAGAGGGCAGAGACAACTCTGGTTTGGAATAGGAAGGCCCACGGTACCACTTTCCTACACAAAATTAGCGCCAGAGCTTCAAACACGAGATGCAGAACAGCAACAGGCTCAGTTTTTGTGGGAACACTGCACCCTCTACCCAGCCACAGAGGAATCGCTGGTTGGGTTTTTTGCATTCATCTGCATCGTGAGCATTCTCCTGCACCCATGGAAACCAAACATAAAGCACACTCAGCCTAAACAATGACTGAGCCCTATGAAACACCGGGCTGTAAGCTTCCTAGAACAGGAACTGAAGAAATCAGTGACAGCTTTACCAAAGTGCGTGCGGTTTTATTTTCTGAGTAAGAAATTGTTACTAAAAACACTGCCCGTGCAGTTGTTTACTTGCAGACAGTGAAGTTTTCTTTAGAGTTGCAAGCAAGGAAGGCATCTCTCGAGCTCACACACCATGCAAGTGTTCCAGTTCACATACCATTTCACCAGCTGAGTAGAGCCAGGACAGTTCTTGTCTTCCCTCAGGATTTTGACGCATAGATCTCAAAACAAAAACAAAAAAATATGTTAAATTTTTTTATATGTTAAATATTTTTAATATAATATTTATATTATATGACAAAATTATGACACTAAAAGTGAAGTTCATTCCCCAGAATTGTATGTTAAAAGTCGGTTTTCATTTACATTGCTCTAAATATTCTAATTCCTGCATCAGCATCACCCCTATCTTTAATAAAACTCAGCAATATTAGCAAAGTTTCATTACACTCATAAGAAATAGCTATTGCCTTTAATTAAATGAACTTTAATTTATTTAAAAACGTCAACTTAACCACCCCGTGCCACTGCATCACGCAAAGAGCCTGTTACCATCCAGGTATCTTGTCCCATAGGCACTTTCAGGGAAGATCCCCCTCAGGTACGTGATGCAGGACACTGCCACCGCCAAGAGCCTCTTCACCAGCGTCAGAGATTGCTGCTCTGTGGTTATTTTATTGGGAAACACGACCGCACTCTGAAAGAGGAAAAACAGCTTTCAACATCGAACGCGCAGCCTGCAGCCTGTTCCGCTGACGAACATTTTAATTGACAAACATTTATAAAACTAAGCATTTTCTTCACACTTGGTGTTACTACGCTTTTAGGACATTGACAATTTTTACCAAGCGTGTGACCGCAAAGTTCAGACTTTTAAACCTATTTTGAGCACCTTTATGCTTAGGTGAGCATTGAATTAATCCATAATTTTCCAACGCAGAAAGCTTACAAAGCACCTGGGTGCATTACTTCAGCTACAATTCACTATGTTTTTCTTTATTCAACTAACACGTTGTGCTGAAACATGATGAAGTCATACCGTACAGTTCTTCTGCTTCTGAGCAGTTGCCATTTTGCTGATTTTACTCTTCTGGCTGTTAAGAAAACATCTGCATTAATGCACGTACAAGCACTGCTCAGGAGCGCGTTCAGCTCACGCTGCAGCTATTTGGTTTTATCAACCCTGTAGCTGAATCTACAGATGTTTCCTAGGCAATTTACCTCTATCAGTTGACAAACTCACTTAAATGGAACAGTACAGGAGGTCTTATTTAGTAATTGGCTGTGTTAGACATGGGATTTTGCACTTCTAACAACCAAGGGAAAAGTTGCATGAGCTAAGTAAGATCAGGGGCACATGTGCATGCGCAAAACCCACCCCAACCACCACCTCCCCTGTGTGTGTCAACACAAATCCCCCCTCCACAGCTCCCCACACATAATTACAGTATTTTGGGCCTATTGGCATGATATAGGAGCCTTTGAAATATACGCTACGTGTTAACACCAGCCAAAGCCAAACCATTCTGCTTTTGGCCACCACCTCCAGATTTTGGTTGTTTTCCTTCACCACTCAGATGAAAACACACAGACAGAACCTTCCACGGCTCCTTTTTTTGCCTGTTTAACCACTTTTCGACAATCCCTGACATTCAGTGGTTTAAGCATGTGGTACGAACACCCCAAACAAGCCTTCCACAGCCCTGTCTCTCGAAGTGAGATGCACCTATGATGAAGGACGGTAAACCCTTCCCTTTGTAGTCCGGAAAATACACCAGATTGGAAATACACCTCCAGAAAATACCACACCAGGCTGAAAAAGCCGCCCCACAGTAAGCACAAGGGCCTGGCACAGTCCCTCCCCCCTCCCTCCTCAGAACGCAGCTGGCCCGGCCCGCCCGCTTCCCTCCGCTTTTATAGCCCGCGAGGGCCGTGCGCAAAACGGGGCGGGGCTACGAGCTCTGCACGCGGCGCCGCGGGCCGTGCGCAGCCCCGCCTTCTCCAGCCCTCAGGCGGCAGAGGGGCCGTGCGCAAAGCTCCCAGTACGCTCCCAGTACACTCCCAGTACACTCCACTCCCAGGCTTCTTCAGAGCTCCCAGTTCTGCTCAGAGTCTCCCCCTACCTGCCCCCAGTTGCAGGGTTTTCAGTGTAAAAAATAAACGTATTTAAGAAGAATTTTAATCCCCGTTCAGCTGCTGGGATTGCCTTGCACAACCAGTGCTCTGTTGCTGCCAGTACAACGGCCAAAGCCAGAATTAAAAGCACTTGTTGGGTTTATAATTAATTGGAGGTAACTGTTAGATTTTAAAAGCCGTGTGCTCACACCTTGCAATGTCTGATTTTGGAACCACAGAATTCAAGCCCTGGAGATGGAAATGCATCCCTAGGAAAGGATGCGGGTACTGCTGGTGTTACCTTCAAAAGGCCATCACCAGCTCCACCACAGCTCGTGTTCTACACGGGGTCTTGGTTAGGGACCCCTCAGCCATGCAGATCGCTGTCCCCAACAAATTGCTGCACCCCAGCCTGTCCCCACGGTGCTGCAGGGGATGAGGATCTAAGTGGGCCTCTTCCTTCAGCTATAATTATAAATGCCATAATGTCGATCGCTCCTGGACCTGAAAAATCTTTTGAGAAGGATGCTGCTGTGAAAAATGTAGTGAGGGAAGTGGTGCTCATCTATGGGAAATCCAGGGAAGCCCCCACCACGGTCAGCTGTGAGGCTGAGCCTTTTTATTCAATCAAATTTGGGAATCGTTTTGGCTAAAGAGGATGCTGCAAGTGCTGTGATCAAGCTGGTGGTGGACATCCCAACTCTGACATTTCATCACATCGTTGGGATGTCAGCCCCCTGGTCTTACAGAGGAAGAACCTCCGAAGAACCTAGGGGAAAAGACCCCAGTGTGATGCCACAGCTGCCACCTCAGGGGGCACCTCTGTGACCTCAGAGGCATCTGTGCTCACCCCCTGGGGTGAGCCTGAGGTCTGCAGTGCCCCGGAGATGGCGAGGAGAGCTCCCCGAAAGAGGCGCCCGGGGGCACCGCCGGGCCCCTCGCAGAGCGGGGCCGCCAGCAAGCCCACAGGGGAGGCAGCGGGGCCGAGCCCCGGGTACGGGGCGCTGAGGCTTTACTGGGAGGCAGTAGCCCCAAGTTTTGCCCCACAGGGGGGCCAAGCCCCAAGTTTTGCCCCACAGAGTGGGCCAAGCCCCAGGTTTTGTTCCTTAGGAAGGCCAAGCCCCAGGTTTTGCTGTATGGGGAGGCCCTGCCTGGCTGTGCGGGCAGAGACCCCGCCAGCATCCTGGGACACAGTGGCCATGGTAGGGGACTGTCCCTGCTCCCTGAACACCATGGGGATATTGAGAGTAGATCGAGGTTAGATGTAAGGGAGAAATTCTTCACCCAGAGGGTGGTGAGGCGCTGGAGCAGGCTGCCCAGGGATGCTGTGGAGACCCCTGAAAATCACCCAGCCCCGCTGCCCTTCCTTGCTGCTGCTGGGAGGTCCCTGGGAGCCCTCCCAAGCCCTGTCCTCGGGCAAGGGGCTCTGTTGAGGCTGCTCCTGCCTGCTGTGGCTCCTGCGGACAGACAGGCTTCATATTTTTCCTCCCACAGGTGCCTCCACGTGCAGGTTGGGCTGCAGGAGGTGAGGCACTCGTTGGAGTTGGTTCCTGGCTCTGCCAGCCAAGAGCCTGCAAGGCAGCATGACACGGCCAGGGAAGCTGCAGGTAAGCTGGGCACTGCTGCTTGAAATCCCCTGGGGTGACCCCACGGAGCTCCTCTGTGCCCAAGGAAATCGCTCCAGCAACATTTCCCCCGTGGCAGAAGAACCACAGGCTGCTGTCCTCCGGGGCACGCTTCTGGTGGGGATTCAGGGCAAAAGAGCTCAACGCCAAGAGCTGACTTTGTGCTCATTTCTTTGCTCAGGGACGGTCGTCGGCACTGCTCGCCATCTGGCAAGGGTCCTCGTGCTGCAGACCCTCCTCAGCGCTTGCATCCTCGCTGTGTACGTACAACACGTTTCTGTTGTGGATTAGGGGAGAAATGGGACGGCTGCGGGCTGGAGTGTGAGCAGGGGAGGGCAGGGGGTACTGCCCGGCCAGCACACCGTGGCTACCACTAGCCAAAGCTCAGGCACTGCCGTTTCCATTCTGTAGCTGTGTTTATTTCCCTGGGTTATTCCCGTGCCCTTTCTGAAGGTGCTCCTGGAGCCCTTCCTTCGGGGAAGATCTGCCTGCGGCGTTGGGCAGTGTGGACAGAAGGAGTGTTTCTCCTGAGGGCTGCCCCCTCAGCTTGCTCTCCACAGCAGGCTTCCAAAACGGCTTCTTTCCAGGCTGCAACTGGAAATCCACCCACAGCGGGGGTTGCCTAAGGCTTGGAATATTAACAACAATACCAAAACTCCCTCCTTCTTAGGCAAAAGATGACCCAGCGCAAGAAGGAGCTCTTGAAAATCCTCCTCGTGGCCTCAGTGATCTTTGGTGAGTTTTCACGAGGAAATACCTGGCCGTGCCCATGTTCCCCGCGTCCTCCTTTCACCCGCTGCCACCCAGCAGCAGGAGGAGACACGGTGACCACGGGCAGAGTAACCGTGTCCCGGTGATGTGCGTTGCAGCAGCCGGCACAGTTTGCTGCAGGACCTCGCAGCCGGGCTGGAAAACGGGGGCGAGGAAAACGGCCCAGGTGAGCGACTGCTGCGGGGCAGGCAGCTCCTCTGGGAGTGCTGCTGCTGCTGGGAGCTGGGGGTATCGTTTTCTGCTCTGGTTCCCTCTGGAGCGACCTGAGGAAGCGGCAGCTTTGCCGTGTGTCCTCGGGGAAGCCCACGGGGAGCCCCAGCAGCTTCGATTCTCTAAGGGAGAGCTTTTCCTTTCCAGAGGCTGCTGGCAGAAACGGAGTCTCTGCGGTAAGAGATGTTTCCTGAGCTGGGCTTGGTTTTGGGCAGTAGCCATCTGCTGACCTCTGGCTACTTGCACTCATTTTCGTAGCGTCCTGGGCTCGCGTAGGTCTTTGGGTCTTCGCCTTTTGCTAAACCCGGTGATGAAGGGAAGCACCCACGTGAAAGAAAAAGAAAAGAGAGCGGAGCACAGCCCTCCTTGTTGGGCTTGGAAGCTCTCCGGAGGGGACAGGGCGCGCTCTGATGGGATCTACTGCTTTCCTGTTGGCCGCAGGAACTCTCTGGATTCCATGGAGGTCCAAGCCAAGAGGATCCAGCTCCTGCTGGAGCAGCTGGCTTCACTGAGGGCAGAGCTCAGCAGCGTGAAGGAGGTGATCCTGCACTTTGTGAAACGAGGCCGGGATGAGCACAACCCCTGGAGAGGCTGGAGCTGCACTGGCGAGCGTAGAGGGTGGAGGCAAGGCTGTGGGGCCTGGCCCATGTCTGCGCTGTGGTGCAGACACAAATAATGCTCCTCAGCCCTTCCTTCTCCTGCCAGAGAGCAGAGAGAGCCTCGCCTCCCTCCAGGCAACGCGTGCCTTGAGCTCCCCTGGAGAAACTGAGCCGCTGCTGCTGCTGCGGTTCCCTCCTGTGATTGCTTTTGTCTTTCCCAGGAGGTTCAGGAGCTGAAACGGGCAGCGTCTGAGACAGCTTTGGAAGACGATGCTCAGCCGCCTGACCGGGCACTGGAAAGCTCAGGTACAGCCACACGCTCTCACAGGGGCTGAGCAGCTTCCCTCCGAATCCCGGGGCCGGGTCCCCCTTTGCTGCCCGTGCTCGGCGTCCCCGTGGGCGCTCGGGGCCTCCCAGCACCACCAGAGCTGCTCCTTGCGGTGCAGAGCAGCAGCCAGGTGGCTCCTCTGCTTTCCCTGTGCAGCTGGGCACCTCCACCCGGCGAGGACGGTGGCGAGAGACGAGGGGCTTGGCACCAACAACACCGTGTGAGCACCGTGTAAGCACCGGGGTCTCCTACCCCGCAGCCTCTTGCACCCTCATGCCCCTTTCTTCATTAAAGGTGCCACCACCGAGCATGTAAATGCCCAGAATTGGTCCTGCAGGCTTTTTTTTTTTGCTTCTTCCGTGCCACGAACTCCTCCTTTTAACCGTCTTGCAGGTTTCAGCCCTTCCTGTGGGGTTAGCAGATCTCCCCACAGCCCGGTTGTATTGCTCAAGCCCGCGGTGCGGGTAAGGATCCTAAAAGCCAAGGTGTAACGCAGGGCACCCTTCTTGCACCCTAGAGGCCTCCTGGGGACACTTCCTTTAATTTACTGCCTTCTCGAGGTGTCACAGAGCTCTCCAGCATGCTCCAGGGGCCTCCCAGGGGCCCACGTTTTGTTCCAAAACCAGCTGGAGCCATCGGAACGCTCCCCGGTGACCTCGTCCTTCCAGGCAGCACCACGGCCCTTCTGTGAATCGATAACCCACTCCAGAGTCCTCACGTGTCTACAAGGACCACCCGAAACCCTCCCAGTGACCTCCAGTGTCCTCCAGGATGCCACAGAGCCCTCCCAGTGCTGCCTTCAAGCATCCTGGGGCCCTGCTGGAGGCCTCGAAGGGCTCTAGCACACCATGAAGACCTTGCTGGACTCCCCAGTGCTCTCTGCAGTCCCCTGCAGGCCTCCCAGTCCCCCCCTGCTGTTCTCCAGTGCCCTGCAGGTGCCTCCCAGCACTCCCAGTGCTGGCGATTCCCAGGCAGGAGGGGGAAGGCGGGCTCGGGGCTGTCTGCACCCACAGGGCAGCCCCCGGAGCCGCCGTGAGACCCCCAGCTCCAAATCTGGGGGGGTCCCGTGCCCGAAGGAGCCTCGCACGCCACCGTTAGCATAAATAGATTTATTGCTCTGTACACATCTACATGTTTGTCCCCAAAACGTGGTGGTGCCCCAGAAGGGGGGGGGCGGGGGCAGCCCCCAGCGCAGCCACCGCGTCCCTACAGGACCTGGCCCACCTGCGAAGGAAAACGGGCGGTGAGAAGGGGCTGCGCCCACCCCGAGCACAGCCAGAAAGCCCCCCCCTGTGCCCCCCACACCCCTCTCACGTACCGGGGGTGGCCAGCAGGAGGTCAGGGCTACCAGCCGGAGAACCAGCGACGGAAGAAGCTGCCCAGCACGGCCGAGGGGTCGCTCAGGGTGGGCGCACGGAGCTCGTCGTGCGGCGGCCACGTGCCTGCGAACTGCGCCAGCTCCCCTGGAGGGCAGGGGGGGCTCGCTCGCAGGGCGCTGTCCCCTTCCCCTCACCCCTCCTGTCCCCCTCCTCAGCACCCTACTCACGGTCATCCACGTCCGAGCAGCTCCTCGCGGTGCTCTTTGCTCTGCCCGTCCTCTGTGGTGGTGCTGACGAAGGCCTGGGAGCCCCTCCGCAGGGTGACGGTCGTCTCGCGGCGGCCGTGGCTGTCCTGCACCGTGCGGCGCTCCTCCACCGCCTGCACGGGGCACACACAAAGTGGCACGGGGCACCCATAAGGTGTCACAGGGTGCCCACATGGGGTCATGGGGCACCCACACCACAGCACAGGGCACCCACGCGGTGTCAAGGGGCACCCATGCCATAACACGGGGCACCCACAAGGTGTTACAGGGCACCCACATGGGATCACAGGGTGCCCACTAAGTGTCATGGGGCACCCACACAGGGTCAAGGGGCACCCACAAGGTGTCATGGGGCACCCACACGGGGTCAAGAGCACCCATGTCATGGCACAGGGCACCCACGCCATGGCATGGGGCACCCATAAGATATCATGGAGCACCCACAAGGTGTCACAGGGTGCCCACAAGATGTCACAGGGCACCCATGCTGTGGCATGGGGCACCCATGAGGTGCCATAGGGCACCCACACGGGGTTTCGGGGCACCCACACGGGTCAAGGAGCACCCCCACCATAGCACAGGGCACCCACAAGGTGTCACGGGGCACCCCCACTCACCCCGTCAGGCAGCGTCACTTTGGTGACGGAGACGCTCTGGAAGAAGGAGCGGGGCTGGGGCTCGTGGGGCCGCAGGATGGTGCCCAGCCCCACCGAGGACACCTCCGAGTCCAGATCTGCGGGGGGGCCGCACGGTGAGCGCGGGGAAGGGGCGCCCGGCCCCGACCCCCCCCATACACGAGGCGCCCCCCGCACCCACCTCGGTCCTCCCTGCGCTCCGGGGGGGCCGGGCGAGCGTCCTCCAGCTGCAAGGCAAAGCCAGGCACCGGTCACCAGAGCCCGGTGCCGGGACCCGGGGGGGCTCTGCCACCCGAGGGCCCCCCCCAGCAGGGCAGGGCCCCCCCACCTACCTCAGGGAGGAGGCTCCAGGGCCGGGCCGGGTCTCGGGAGCCCTCGGGGCCGTCCGGGTGCTTCAGCATCGAGTCCCGCAGCGGCCGCCCGGGGCCTGGGGCCGGGCAGGGGGGGCTCTGCAGGGCACAACCGGGGGTGAGGGGGGGGGTGAGGCTCCGCCAGGCCCCCCCTTCGGTCCCGTTCCCACCTATGGCCGGGGGGGGCTCGGACCCAAGCCCCCCCGAAGGCGCCCAGGAGCTCGGCCGCGTCCCGCAGCAGCTCCTCGAAGGCCCCCCCGGGGCCGAACCGAAGCCGAAGCTGAAGCCATCGGGGGGCGGCGGCGGCCGGGGGGGGCCCTCGGCGGCCTCGTCCTCGTCCTCGTCCCGCGGCGCTCCGCCGAACAGCGGCTCCCGGGGCCTGCGGGGGGGATGGCGCTGAGACCGGGAAGGGGAACGGGGAGCCCAGGAGAGGGGGCCGGGGGGGTGTAGGGGAGGCCCGGAGGAGGCTCCGGGAGGGGGTCCCGGGCCCGGTCCCGGTACCTGCGGCCCCCCGGGAGCCCGAAGAAGCCGCGGAAGGCGTCGTAAAAGCTCATCGGGCCCGGCCGTAAAGCGCCGCCGCCGCAAAGTGCCCCCGGGGCCGGCCCCGGGGCCTCCCCGCCGCCCCCCCCCCGCTGCCCCCCCCCCGCCACGGCGCTTGTGGGGAGGGGACGGGAGTGGAGGGGGCCTGGGGCCTGCCGGGGGGTGCAGCCCCAGTAACACACCAGTAACACACCAGTAACATACCAGTAATACACCAGTAACAGCAGCAGTCCCAGTAGCACCAGTAACACCGGCAATCCCAGTAGCACCAGCAGCCCCAGTAGCACCACAGCAGTAACACCAGCAGCCCCAGTCACACCAGTAACAGCGGTAACGCAGCAGCCACCTCATTAACGCCAGTGGTCCCAGTAACATGAGTAACCCCCGTACCACCACCAACAGCAGCCCCAGTAACCCCAATAACACCAGCAGTCCCAGTAACACACCAGTAACCCCAATAACACCACCAGCTGCAGCTGATTCCGGGTAGGGATATATTTAGGGTTGCTCAGAAAGAGCGAACACGGAGGGTCCAGTTGCATGTGGGGCTGCGTAAAGGCTCCCCTGGGGAGTTCAGGTGTACCTAAAGCCTTCCGTTGGGGGCACTTTTTGATGGGAGAAAGTGGTGCGACTTCTAGGGTCATAATTAGGGTTGGTTTTGGGGTTACTGGGAGGCTTTCAGGGGGAGCTAGAGGGTGGTCCTGGTCAACAGGGTTGCACAAGGGTGCACTGGAGAGCCCCGTGTGTCCTCCAGAGGCCTCTGGATCCCAGGAAATGTCCTTGTTTTGCCTCTAGGGTTCAAGAGGAGGCTCTCAGAGCACCGCAGGGTGCCCCAGGAGGCTTCTAGGGCATCCTAGAGGAAACTGGGGTCACTGGAAGCCTTTTCAGAGGACATTTGTTGTCCCTGGTAGACCCGTGGAGGATCTGGAATACCACAGGAGGCTCCTGGTGTGCACGAGAGCGCACTTGAGAGCCCCGCGATTCCGCTGGACACCAGATTCTAGGCAGAGAATTTATGATTTGCTCCTATTATTTATTTAGAACGTTTATTTATTATTATTATTTATTCCTTATTTTGCCTGCATGGCTTGGAGGGCGCCCTGGGAAGCCTCTGGGGCGTGCTAGGCAACACCGAGGGGGACACTCAGAGGCTGTCCGGGGAAGCCCAACCCTGCAGCTCCCACCCGACCCACGACCCATGGCGTGAGGTGGCCGCGGGGAAGCCCCCCGGAGCCCAGCAGCCAAAAGAACCGGTCCCCAGCACCTCCATGGTGATTAAGGAGGCATTGGGGAGGCAAGGACAATCCTCAGACAACGAAACAAGACACTGGAACTCATGATAAGGAAGCGGCAGACGGACAGAGAAACAAATGTAAGGACTATGTATCTCGAAACTGGACATTGGAATTCATTATAAAGATACAACGAACTGAAGAATTAGCAACAACCAGCGCTTGTAATTAAGAAACCTGCCAACTCAGCAGGTTCCTGGCCAAAGGTGAAAAGTACACTGTGAGGAAGACTCGGGGTCTTCCTCCCAAAGACCACTGCCCACATCCCAAAGACCCCTGCCCACAATTCTTGGGAAGCTCTACACAGGAACAAGGTGCCAAAAGGCTAATTAGCATGAGAAGCGAGGGAAGGCGGGGATAGGTAATGAATATGTATAGGCGCTTGTAGAACATTGACAGATTGATTGTATAAATTCAAGACTGCTTTCCACTTTGGGTATGCATAAGGTGGAGAGATCCCCCGCGCATCCAGCGCTGCCATAAAGAATATACCACTTCAAGGAAATTTCGGCTTCGATCGTTGAATCAATAGCGCCGATTTCCCCCCGTCCCCCCCGCTTTGAGCACGCCGGCCCGGCCGCCAGAGCCGCCAGCCATTAGTACTGGCGCGGCCGCCATGATTGCCGGCCCTCAGGGCCGCCATGTTGCCAGCACGAAGTACTGGCGCGGCGGGAGGCGGGTTCTCGCGAGGTGAGGCCGGGCCGGCCGCCGCCATGTTTGCCCGGCCGCCGAAATCTCGCGAGAGTCTTCGCGCGAGGGGGGCTAGGGGGCAGCCATGGCGGCCGAGCGGGGCCGGGGGCGGCGGCGGCGGCGGCGCGGGCGGCGCTGAGGGGGCCCCGGGAAGGCCCCGGGAAGGCTCCGGGCCTCGCCCCCCCGCCGGGGAGCCATGAGCCAAGGCGGCGGGGCCGGCGGTGAGAGCGGCGAGCCCGAGGCTAAGGTGCTGCACACCAAGCGGCTGTACCGGTGAGGAGCCCCCGGGGGGGGGGATTGAGGGGGTTAAGGGGGGGTTGAGGGGGTTGGGAGGGCACCGGGGGGGTCCCGGGGGATTGAGGGGAGCGGGGGGGTGAGGGGAGATCGGGGGGAGTGGTGGGGATCAAGGAGGAGAGGGTTGAAGGGGGGTGAGGGGGAGCGGGGGGGTTGGGGGGGTATCATGGGGGCTGGGGGGGGGTCTGGGGACAAGGGGGGGGTCCCGGGGATTGAGGTGGTGAGGGGGGATCAGGGGGAGCGGGGGGGGGTTAAAGAGACTGAGAGGGTTTGAAGGGGGCTGGGAGGGATTGGGGGGATGCCAGGGACCGGGGGGGTGTGGGGGGATCAAGGGGACCGGGGGGGATCAGGGGTGTCAGGGGGGATCCCAGGGAGCAGGGGGGGGTGGTAGGGACTGGGTGAAATTAGGGGGAGTGGGGGAAATGAAAGGGATTGGGGGATCGAGGAGAGCAGGGAGGATCGGGGGGATCATAGGGATAAAGGGGGGGATCAGGGGAAGGGGAGGGGAAAGGGGGAAACTGGGGAGGATCAGGGGGGGAAGGGGCTGGGGGTGTGGGAAGGGCAAGGGAAAGGAGACTGGGGGGGGCAGAGGGGGTCTGGAGAAGGAGGTGTGGGAGGATCCCAGGCAAAAGAGGGGAAGGAAAAGGAAAAAGGAGGTGGGGGAGAAGGAACTGGGGAAGGGGATGCAGGGAAAATGCGAGGAGGGGGGCAGGCAAAGGGGGCAGGGAAATGGGTCAGGACACGGGGGGGGGGGAAGGAAGGAGTCGTGCAGGGTCCACGGGGACAGGGTAGGGGACACGAGGATGCAGAAGGACGTGGGGAAGACTTGGGGACACCCAGGGAAAGGGGAGGCTGCGACGGGGCCCGCGTGGCACTGGTGGCACACGGGGGAAGAGCTGGAAGGATTTTGGGGCTCCTGCTGGAAGGAGGGCAAGGCTGCGGCTGCTGCGAGCCCTGGTGACAAAAACACTCCCTGGGACTCTGCTCCTGCTACGTCTCCATGCCATGCAGGTGCTGTCGGGGCAAAATCCGGGCAGTTTTGGTCTCCCCAGCCCTGCAGGACCGAGGCACCGTGCCGAGGTGCTCCGTGGATGCCTTATTTTGGGACCACACTCCCCTTCTTGCCCCCTTTTTCACCATTTCTCCGGTTGTAAAGCAGGCTGGTAGGCGAGTCGAGGAGTGACAGCGCGCTTTCAGAGCTGAGCGAGGTGCTGAAGGGAGATGTTTTTGGGTACAGCCCGTTTGTTTTCGTCCTGCTGGCTTGCCCGGTGACATCGGGCCCGTCCTTTCACCTCTCCCAACCTCGTCACCCCCTTCTAAACTCGTCTCCCTCGGAGAAACCCGGCGAGACCCTTGACTGAAACCACAAAGCACAAGTGGCAGCTTGGAGTAGCTAAAATCTATTTCCTTGGCATGCTTTGGGCAGGTTTTTGGCGCTGGTTTTGGCCCTTTGAGGTTAGATTCCTTGAGTAGATGTGGGACTGGTCCTCGGGGCAACGGGGGGAGGTGATTTCCTTACGGCAGAATTGGCTGAGTGGTTTCTTACAGCAGCTCCTGGGGATCTCCGTCTCCTTTGAGCCAGAAATGTCGTGGTTTCGGCGCAGGGTTTATAAAATCTGCAGCAGCCACAAATTTCCTCGCTGTGGCTGATAGCTCTCCTAGCCAGCTGGCCACCTGAACCAGCCCCTTGCCAATTTTTCTCTATTTCAGCCCGAGAGTTGATTAGGTCAAGCAGTATCTCACTCTCCTTTACTTTGCGCTCCTTGCTGCGTGCCTCGGATCGGTTCCATTTAACTCTTCCCCGATGGATAATCCCGGAGTTTCACCTCAGATCGTGGCAGCTGGATTAATCTGGCTGCTGTTTCAATCTGCTTTTTTTATTTTAGGGCGACCAGGTATTTTTTTTTGACAGCGTTCTCTTGGCTTTGCCCTCCTCTCCTCGCCTGCCAGCCTTGTCCTGGGCAGTATTTGTGCACCGACACGTGCCAGGATCAAGTGAGCGGCTGCGGCTCCTCTCCCTGAGAAACCTCACGCTCCTCCGGGTCTGTGCCTTTTGATGATGAATTAAATAAAGAAATACAGGACAAATAAAACTCCCTCTGCCATCTCGCCCCAGTCCTGGAGCCGTAGGGACACACGGAAAGAGTTCCTTCCCACTGGGCGTCCGATTCTTGCAAGTCACCTCTGGCCATCGCAGCCCCTGCCTCTGCCTCCTCCTGGAGTTTGTGCTAAGAAGAGCTTCTAGCACGGGGTCTGCCTTGTGCCCTACAGGCAGCCGCATCCTAAAAGAGAAACCTTGCTGCCCTGCGGTTTTTATGGCATCAAGTTTTTAGGATCCCATAAAAAAAAAATAGCAAAAGGGACCGGTGTCTCCAAGTGCCCGCGTCTGGCTGTTGTGGGAAGTAATGTGTCGCTGTTGGACTCGAGGATCTTCTAACAGGGCTTCGTGGCACCTTTTTAGGTAGTAAAATAAAAAAAAAAAAGAGGAAATCACCGAGTCGTTTCCCACCTGGTGGTGTCAATGATGTGCGAGCTTGGGTCCGACCCCCAGCAGCCGCCAATTCTCTGTATGGTGAAAGCATTTTTACAGCTGTTCTGAAGAAGGAGCGACTACCTATTTTGGGAATAGATCATAGATTTCCTCTCCTTCTCTCTGGGAATCAAATGAATCAGCAGTTCCCCTTTCTTCTGGCCACCCTTCTGCATAGGAAGCGAAGCAGTTCCCCGGGCACGGCGCTGGTCGCTTCCTGCCGCAGTGATTGCTGCAGGAGGTCTTTGGGAGGTGGCGATGGGACACGGAGCACGGGCTGCAGCAAGGAGGGTGACTTTGGGGGAAGCTAGGGGTGTGTGGAGGTTTATTTTTCTTCTTTTTCCCCCAGTCGATATGCCGCAAGCTTCGTGGCTTCGTATTTTGCATCTTAACCTGCTAAAGAGAACGCGTTCTCCTTGCTTGCCGTTCTCACTTCGGAGAGCAGTGGGTTGTCAGAGTTTGCAGAGGATCTCAACGCCGCAGGAGAAAGATGTTAGTGAGCAGAAGGACGTCCAGGTTAGGGGCAGGCTTCTGGGCCGCTTGTACTCTGGTCTTGGTTTTCTCCGTGATTTTTTAGGAAGAAGTTGGTTCAGGTTGGTGTTTCGATCTCCCAAGTCTTCCCTACATTCGTCTCCTTCTGTCAGGTGCTGTGCGTGTACTGAAAACAATCCCTCTGTTACCTGTCATCTAGAGATCTTTAAGACCTTTAATTAAGGAATTGTGGTAAGGAAGGAGAGGAAATTTTGGCAAATAAGTTGCTTTCTGTCGTAGATCAGTTGGTAAGGAAGCAGGAATTGGTGGAAGTTTGACTCGCCCTATCAAAGTAGCGATCATTGGGAATTTATTCATTTTATAACAAATTAAATGTGTGGTTCCATGCAGAGACTCCAGATCTCGTAAAATAACCTCAGACAACCCGTGCTGAAGCTCCTCTTTATGTTTTTATTACCTTGCAGAGCAGTGGTAGAGGCTGTTCATCGATTGGATCTCATCCTCGGTAACAAGGCAGCGTATCAAGAAGTGTTCAAGCCAGAGAACATCAGCTTGAGGAACAAGTAAGTTGGGCAGGGCAGTCATTTTTTGTATTTCTCTGGAAAAACCCACGTGAAGTAACACGTGGACGTCTTGAATCAGCAGTTTCACGGTGTGTTCACTTTGTGGTGCACCCACTGAGGACGGATTCCTCCAGGTTTTTGGAGCAGAGGCTAGATTTCAGGTATTTGAACAACACCTAGCCACAGAATCTCTGGCTGGAGGCTTTCCCAGGTGCCACTATAATACAAAAAAGCTGTTGGCTGGTGCCTTCCTTGTAATTACCTTGAAAAAAAAGAATTGTGATGTAGAAACTTTGTGTTTGTATGTGATAAATCTTTTTTTCGGGTTCAGAAGATACCTAGTGGGGTTGTCTTTTCTTTCTAGCCTGTGGCCATAGACAATTTTTTTACACTGCTGCAAGTTTAAGAAGCTGCTGATGGCCAGCTGAGCCGTGGTAACTGATTAGGGGTGGGCTTTTCCAGATGTTCTTGTGTGGGAGCAGCACAAGCTGTACCATCACCCGATAGCCTAGCTCATTCATCGTAATTAATTCAGATTTTCCTCGTTTTGCTCATGTAGTGGCAGCTGTATTTGAAGCTGCTGTGGCTAAACACGAATTCTTTGCTGTCTCTCTCAGGCTGCGAGAGCTGTGTGTGAAGCTGATGTTCTTGCACCCAGTGGATTATGGAAGAAAAGCAGAAGAACTGCTCTGGAGGAAAGTTTACTATGAAGTTATCCAGCTCATTAAAACAAATAAAAAGGTAAGGATCTGTTGCTCTGGCATGAGAAAGTCTCTGGGCAGGCAGTGGGTCAGAGCAAGTTAAAGGCTTTATTTGCTTGGAGATGTTGTTATCTGAACACTGGGCAGTCCTGAATTTTAGTTGTGGAGCTGACGTACGTTTTTTGGCTAGCTGTGGGCAGGTAACTTCTAATGCTCTGCTGCGAGGGCTGCCGCTGCAGAGTATATTCCAGCATCATTTGCTTAATTTTTGTCTTCCCAACTTCACAAACACATTTTCCACGTAGAATGAGTGCCAGTGATGGACTTAGGAGGCTTTGTCAGTGCTGATTTATTTTTTTTTCCCCGTTAGAATTGATCACTGGAAAATACAAAATATCCACGCTGTATTTTCCAATGCTGTGACCTGTCTCCTGGTGATCTGGTTGTCTGAACGTAATTTTGGCGTGTTCTAACCAGACACCTTGATTTTACTTTTATTCTTTGTTGCTCCAAGTGTTTCTCCTTGGTGTCTACCCTCGGTAAATACTACTAGATAAAACACCGTTGAGCAAAGGGAGGTGCAGAACTGTGCAAAACCACCGCAAGCTGAGTTGCCCACTCTTTTGCTTCATATAACTTGGGTTTCCAGCCTAAAATGTTACCCGGACTGCAGTGACATCTTTTCACCTCTCTTTCCTCCAGCACATTCACAGCCGCAGCACTCTGGAGTGCGCGTACCGGACTCACTTAGTTGCTGGCATCGGATTTTACCAGCACCTTCTCCTCTACATTCAGTCTCACTATCAGCTGGAGCTGCAGTGCTGCATCGACTGGACGCATGTCACAGATCCCTCTAATAGGTTGGTGCTCGGTGTCTGGGGCTGTTGGGTAAGGCTGGATCCCAGACTGGAGGCTTCCCCTTGTGCTAATCCATTCTTGTTTCAGCACTCAAGGTGCCATCTTTTATGTTTCTGATTAGATTGGTGTCTGTTCCGAACAGCCTGTCCTGTTCTCCCTGTTCCCTTTTCCATAATGCTTTTATTTTATTTTTTTAATATTAAACTGTGGAAGCCAGAAGGGTTTCTAATAGCAAGAAAACCCTGTTAGAAAATCCCTTAGTAAATGTTTGGTGATGGCAGATTTTTGTGGAATCATAGAATTGTAGAATGGGTTGGAAAGGACCTTAAAGATCATCTCCTTCCACACCCCCTTCCACTAGACCAGGTTGCCCAAAGCCCCATCCAACCTGGCCTTAAACACGTCCAGGGATTCCACAGCTTCTCTGGGCAACCTGCTCCGGTGCCTCACCACCTTCAGAGTAAATCAAAAAATTCACAGCTCAAGGCTGTGTATGGATTCACATCCTAGATTATCTTGCAATACTTCGTTCATCTTTGCTCCTGGGTTGTGTTCAGTAACCTCAAGGTGCCTGTTTCTGTCTTAGGTGAGTCCAGCTGGGAAATGGATCGTCTGAATTTTGGGGAACTGAATTAGCAAGGGTTTAACTGGTGTTTTTTCAAGCTAGCAGTGGCGAGGACAGCAGAAATCAGAGTTAGTACACCTTTAGCAGTAGAATGTTTTAGTTGCCGGGATCCTATTCTTAGCTTCTGGGAGATGATTGTATCATGATCAGCTTTGAAATGTCAGTTGATAAGGCAGATGTCCCTGGCAACTGTTGATTTTAGAAACGTATCTCAGCACGGCAGAATTAATAAATTTTCAAAATGCACGCTCTAGATCAGTTTATGCCCTGCGGTGGGATCGCATTTGAAAGGCTCCCGTGTTCAGGTTCCTTAATGTGTCTGGGCTCTATAATTAAAATGATGCAGCAGACAAATATGTAACTTCATAATTAAGATGGAACCTTGCGTGTCCAGAAGAGATAGATGTGGAAGAATCCTGCATGAACTCCAAATTGGGGTGGCGACAACTTGATTGTTATATAAAGGGAAATGAGAAGATTAAAAGGGAAAAGGAAAGGGAGGATAGATCCAGTAGCGTGTCTGGACGCAGTTTTCGGGGCCGTGTGTTGGTGTTGTGTGACTCAGTGCCTGTTGGTGAGTGGGAACCATTCCTCACGGGTCACTTGAGCCTCCAGATATCACTTCCACCCTTTTAAACCAAGCCAAGAGGAAAGCAGCTCAGGCTGCAGATTGGACCGAGCTGAAAATCTTCCTTTGGGGTTCCTGTTTGAGGGATGTTTCTCCTCCAGAAGAGACCTTGGCAACAGGAAGACTGAACCTAGACCGCATCCGTGACACTGGTCTTGCAGTAAATGAGTTCTGGAGGGGAAGGGCAAACGCAGTACCTGTGCCCCTGAGCTCCAGCTGAACCCCCAGGCTGGGGAGAAGGTGCTGATGCAGAGATGGGAAACTGTGGCTTCCCAACTGCAGCCCCTCCCAGGCACTGAGCCACATTTCACAGCTTAAATTAGGTCAGGTCAGCTGGCTGGAGCCTTCCCCTGTTGCTTTTGACACTTTCTACTACCTGAACTGTTTTTGTTTGTTTGTTTTTTTCCCTGGAGGCAAATTCTCCCTGCCTCTAACACAGATTTGTTGTCCTGACTTCTTTTTTTCACTTCTCTTCCTTTTTTTTTTTTTTTTTTGGCAATTCTGAATCCAAATCTCAGTCTTGATCTGGAGTTCGTTACCACCTTCAGTGTCAGGGGGGGGTTATGTGCATGCTGTGTGTTGTCGCCAGGTGCAGGCGTGCTCAGCCTTTGTTCTGGCTTCCAGGGATTTGCGCCAGCTCCTATCCAAAGGCCTCATTAGCCATGCTAACAAAATCAGCCTCTGCAGGCCTTATTAGCTCGTGCTCAACGCTGTGTTAACGCGGTCACGTGCCTTCGTAGACAGGAATTGGCCTTTGTCCTCTCATCTCGGTGCAGGCGTCGCCAGCTCTCCGTGGCGTACCTTTAAGGCAAAGTCTGAGCAGACAGACATTTCGGTGACTGCTGGCGATGCTGTGACACTCCCTGCCCCTGATCAGCAGGGAGGAGGCGAGCATCAGTGCCTGCATGGCATTTGTCACCTTTTTGACAGCGAGGATGAGCCGCTGCTTGTCTGTAAGGAGCCCCAAACAGCCTACGGTGCGGTCTGAACGTGTGATTGTGGTTTTCAGCTGGTGAAATGTTGGGGTCTGAGGCAGGGGCGTGGGCTGCTGGTGTGTTTTTCCAGCTGCCTGTGCCCAGCGGTGTGTGTGACTTCGTATTTTGCCTGTAGGCTGCAAGAAACCCGTGTCTGCATCGGAGAAGGAGATGGAGTGGGCACAGATGGCATGTCACAGATGCCTGGTTTATCTCGGAGATCTAGGTAAGAGCAGCAGCATCTTTCAGGGTAACCTTTAATACCTTAAAATTGGTGCCTGTGCAGCACTGAGCCCGTGACCGTAAGTCACCAGTTACTAGGCAGGTGCTGGTTTCTCTTGCACACATTCGTCACTGAAGGGTGAAATCGTCACGGATAACTGCTGCAGCTTGCAGGAGCTTTTGTGCGTGTGTGTGTGTGCCAGTAGCTGAGAGTTTTGCGTTTAGCAAACAGCTGCATCCCTGAACATTAAGGAACGGAATCCTTTGCTTTCAGTCATGTTGCTTGGATGGTGTGAAGGAAACTCGAAGCGGGCTGATTTCGCAGTTGAGGCTTGCTTTAAAAGTTGCCTCGCTGTCGTGAGAAGTGTGACTGCAAATCAGGTTTGTTAAGCATTATTGTGAATCAATCCAGAGTGATGGGCCACGGCAAAGCCCAGGTTCTTTGTCGTCGTGTCTGGCTGTGTGTCATCCTTCGGGTAGCAGACCTGGCTGTCCCACAGTCACGACCTCCTGCAGCGTGTGGTAAGCGTGTCAACTTCTCGCTTGATGGTGACCGTGTGGGTGTGAAAGCAGTGAGCAAACATGTAATGGTGTGAAAAACAGCTAGCTGACGTGTGTCATGGGTAAATGTGCTTGGCACGCAGCAGCAGCCTTCAAGCTCTTGAAACCTGTGTGAATCAGCTCGGCAATGCACTGCAAATAAATGTTTCCTGGGGGTGGTGAGAGTGCCATACCTGGCTGGTGGGAGACAAACGTGCTCACCTCTTCTCTGTGCTTTCCCGTAAGGTTTCCAAAATGCCTACTTTTGTGTCTGCGATCCGCCACTGCCACCCAAATACAATTTAGCCACAGCCAGGTGTTTTGTGTTTTATTGTCTTGCTTTAGATTTCACACTGTGCCGTAGTAGAACATAGTCTGGTTGAGGTACTGGGAAATGGAGTACAACACGGAGTTATTCAAGGATAAATTAATCAGCACTTAGCACACGGAGGAGAAGATATTCTTCTTTTTGCTTACATGCTACCACAGGCGTGGAGGGATGGTTTCTGATTTGCAGTGTGTGGTTTTCTTTCAGCTCGCTATCAGAATGAACTGGCAGGAGTGGACACAGAGTTGCTGGCTGAGCGGTTTTACTATCAAGCCCTTTCTGTTGCACCGCAAATTGGTGAGTTGAGTTACATTTTGGTCATTAACATCACTTTTCACTAACCTGAAAACAGTGGTAGTGGTTTTTGTTCAGGTTTACATCCTGCTGCTGAGAGAGGAGTGGTTTTATTCCCTAGTTAAAATGACTTCCTTTTCTGAGAAACTCTCTCTTGCTGACAAGCCAAACAGAGGAGATAGAGCAAAGGTTGTCTCCCCGCATGGCCTCAGCTTACTCATCTGAGAAGGTCAAACTCCATGGATGTGGTAAAATTGGGTTTGTCTGGCTAAGGGAAAATCCAGCTGCCCATTGCCAGAAGCAGAGCGTTATTGCTCCTCTCTGTGCCTTGCCACTGCCACCTCTAACCCCCAATCTCATGTGTTCCTGTCTCCTTTTAGAAGGAACTACTTTACGAGAGTTGGGAGCCTGTCTTACCTCAAAAAGGATGTTCCAAAGAGATTTGCTCTCTGTGCTGTCTTTGCAGGATTCTTGCTGAGGTGTTTGTTCAGTCTGATCCCAAATACCAATAACTGACCTGACATTTATGTAGCGCAGTGAGGTGGGACAGAACTCTTAAATGCTGACAAGATGAATACAGTATGACAGAGTCAAGGTCTTGTCATTATTAATACAGAGGTGGAGGAGGAGTTATTTACTATGCTTACACAGCTAGCCAGCAGGAAGGTGCAGAGGACCAAAAGCACCGTAAAGCCAAAAAAAAAAAAGTGGTGAAAGAATTGAGTAGTCCAGTTCTTTGTACTGCAGCATTTTAGCATTTTTGGTGCCACCTGTTTTCACTCTCACGTGAAACAGAGTGAGGAAGAAAGGCTCTGCTTTCTAGCAGGGCCATTGGAGGATCTAAGTTAATTCCATTGCCCCTCTCTTTCGTTACAGGCATGCCTTTTAATCAGCTGGGGACATTGGCTGGGAGCAAATACTACAACGTGGAAGCCACCTATTGCTATTTACGCTGGTGAGTGTCTGCGAGGATCTTGGCTTTCTGGGCAAAGAATCAGTGCACTGTGGTTGCTGGTGCCAGATTCTTTTCTCCTTTACTTTGACCACTAAACAAACGCACACAGGGCAGTGTTTCAGCTGAGACCCAATGCCTGGGCTAGAGAGCTGTGTCTGAAGGGGTGTAAAAGTGCTAAGTGAGGCACCCAGCATGGTGAGGTGGAGGGAATTAAGATATCTGAACATGGCCTGAAGGCACAAGTCTAAAAAAAGGTGTGGAAACGTTGCAGACAGAGCCGTGATGCAGCCTGGAGTGGGATTCACAGATCTCAGGGGGAGTTAAGTTCTTTAGCTGTACCCATCTTTGTGTTTAGATGCCTGAATAACTCTTTGGGGAAATAAAGCCATAGAACGTGAGCAACCTTGTGGCAAAGTATCTCCTGATGTGTTTTATTTCCATATCTCAGTATCCAGTCTGAAGTGTCCTTCGAAGGTGCCTATGGGAACCTGAAGCGTCTGTACGACAAAGCAGCCAAAATGTATCACCAGCTGAAGAAATGTGAAACCAGGAAGCTGTCTCCCAGCAAGAAACGGTAGGAGGGCAAGGAAAAGGAGAGGGGTGCGGGCTGAGGGTTTGCAGTCACACCAATATCCTACTCTGGGTCAGGAGCAATGTCTTTCTGGGAAATGGGAACTGCTGGGTCACCCATTTGAGGCAGCAAGTGTCAAAATTTGGGGAGCCCCAGTTTAGATCCCATTCCAGGTCTCTCAGGTCACGATCTTAGGAGAGAATATGAAGGCTCTCTGGGTATAGATGTTGAGATGAGGCATTTCTCCCTCTCCCCTGGAGCTGGTGGCTGTACAGGAGCATCCAGACATGGGTGAAAAGCAGAAATACGTAAACTAACCTTTTTTCTGCAGTTTCCTCAGGATGTAGTTATCAATTGAGACCTGATTTACCTATTGGTAGAGCTCTGTTAGCCTTTTCCATCTCAGGGATGGATACCTGCAGGAGGGTACCTGCTTGACAGTGTTTTCTTCGCAATCTTTTTAGGTGCAAAGACATTAAGAGGTTGCTGGTGAGCTTTATGTACCTGCAGAGCCTTTTGCAACCAAAGAGCAGGTAAGGTCATGACAGATTCTATCTTCCATTAATAATTCACCCTAGCAGGCATTCAGAAGTGGAAGAGGCTGTTCCCTGCAGGATAACGGTGCCTGTGCTGAAGCTTTTTGCCAAAAGGTCCAAGCTTTATGAAGTCCTTTTCTGCTGGGAGGTTTTCAGGTGATGCTAAATTCACCTCTTGAAATAAAGCAGGCCTTTTAAAGGGCTAACACAGACTGCAATTAAATTCATCATGGAATAGTGTAGTTTGGAGGAGACTTTCTAGAGGTTCAGTCTTTTCCCCAAAGTAGGGTCTGCTGTAAAGATAGATTCAAATGTGAAATTAGGTGAGGTTGCTCTGAGCTTCAACCAGTTGAGTTTTCAGTGGATCCTGAGGACAGAGATTTCACACCTCTCTGGTTCCCCTTCCAGTCTTTCACCACCTTTACCACGGAGGGATTTTTATTTTCCTTCACTGCAGCTTGTGCCTGTTGCTTCCCTTCTTTTGCTGTGCACCATGGAGAAGAGTCCTCTGGCTCAGGTCCCTTAAACCCACCTATTTGGCATCTGAAAACAAAGTTTATACCTCCCTAAGCCTTCCCTTCTTCAAACTGAACAAACTCAGTTCTCTTTCTCTCTTCTCATACATCCTGTGCTGTGTTACACAGTACTCCAGATACCATTTCACGAGTGCCAAACAGAGAAGAATAATGATTACGTTCAATGTGCTGGCTGTGCCCTTGCTGATGCAGCCCAGCATGGGGTTAGCATTCAAATATTGACTGATACCAGACAAGAAATACAAGGCTCATTTAATATCCACTTAATAAATATTTAGTGCATTAAAAACCAGGAAATCACTTTAATTTCCCAGTTATGTTGGCCCCTGAAAAGGATTTGCTAGATGTTTTGCAGACAGGTGTTTTTTTTTTGTTGTTGTTTGTTTGTTTGTTTTGTTTTGTTTTGTTTGTTTTTGTTTTTTTTGTTTGGGGGGGGTGGGGGGGAGGGTAAGGAGGAGACTCCTGTAGCCCATTATACTGAAAACCACGTGTGCTTCATTTGAAGTGGCTAATAGCTACAGGAGAATGTTCTTGCGGGGCTGTGAGTTAGAGCTATGGGAGGAGGGAAAAAAGAGTCCCTAACTTGTGTGTTGTGATCCTTTTAGCTGAGCGGTGGATCTGAAACTTTTGCTGTCTTTAACGTTGAAGTGCCCCGTTTCTTCATGAAGAAGCCTGAGCTCCCGGGGAAAAAGTCATCGAGTGGTTATTTAGGTTAGGTATAAAGTGGTTTTGAGATCTTTGAATTACAAGAGATGTGCAGATAAGGACTGTGGTTGTTCCTGCAGGAGTGTTGCTTTGGGCCTGGGACTCGATGTGTGAGTCCACCCACTGACCCCATCCCACCCCGTATTTTTTCTGGTGACCCATCTCTTTGCAAGGACGTGCCCTAGTTACAGTTTATCTTTAATTTATCAGCCTTGGAGAGGAAAACGTAATCTGATTCATCCCACTTGCTTCTCATACCTGTGGTTGCCTGCGTTATGTTCCCCTTTGCTTTATCATTCCCAGGGCAAAGGATCGCTGAACTGTAGCTTCTGCCAGATTTGGTCAGTCTCCACGCAGCCATTGCCAGGAGTTTGGGTCTTGAATAATAATTCTTGTTAATTTTTTCTTCCCGTTAAGCTCTCTGGATTCCGAGCTGACGTCACTCTGCCAGTCTGTACTGGAGGATTTCAACCTGTGCTTGTTCTACCTGCCTTCTCCTCCTAACCTGAGCTCAACCAGCGAAGATGAAGAGGAGTATGAGAGCGGCTACTCCTTCCTTCCCGATCTCCTGATCTTCCGCATGGTGATCATCTGCTTTATGAGTGTTCACAGCCTCAAGAGGGCAGGTAACCAGTGCCTTCAGCCATTCGGAAATCAAGTGATCTGATAACAATCAGCAGTCCAATTAGGCAGAAGAAGTCTTAGTGGGCGCTCGTGTTTTGGGCTAGTGGTCAGGCTCCTCTGCCTCATTAAGCTGTCTCCTTGCAGGTTCAAAGCAGTACAGTGCAGCCATTGCTTTCACACTGGCCCTCTTCTCTCACCTGATAAATCACGTCAATATGCGGCTGCAGGCAGAGCTGGAAGAAGGGGAAAATCCAGTCCCAGCTTTTCAGAATGATGGCACAGGTAAGAGGACGGAGGTGGAACTAAGCTGGCTCTCCCCACTTGCATGTCGATAAGGGGGTGGCTTTTACTTTCCTTTCCTAAATCTCATGGACGTGGGTTTTGTCGCATCGTGCCTGAGTGGTGCTAGAAACATCTCAATCTTTGACTGCTGGGCTGAAATCCACAAAGACGGGTAATTTGGGGAGTCTCCACTTAGATGCTCTCAGCGAGTAGCAGAATCATTGTAGAATAGAAGGGTCGCTTGCTGTCTTGAAAGGAGTTATGGTTTTGTGTCTTTTGGCAGCTTGTTCATCATCTATTTACCCCAGTCTGTGCTGCTTTTGTTCTGTCTGCATTCTCTGTTGTTTACTGGACTCTTTTTCTCTTCCTCTGAGATGATCTCAGGTAAAACACCTGGGCAGAGCAGTTTGTAGGGGAGGCCGGCCCTACTCTTCACGCCTCATCTCTGTTCAGACAAAAGCAGGTCTTCAGCTGCTGGTGGAGCCTGTTGAGCAGAGAAGAAAACCACTTGATCTTTCCCCTCCGAACGGTCAATTTGTACCATTTCACAGAATGCAAGGCTGGACTTTTCCTGGCCAAAAGCAACAGTGAACGACTCCTCCCCTGCCTGGGTTTTGAAGCTGGCAGGGTGACAGAGGGCTGCTGGAAAGGCTCGGGGCGTGTTGGTGGAGGAAAGGGATGAGGTCAACTCAGTCTGGTTATGAGGTGGGGAGGCTGGTTTCATCAGGGTGACTGGCACACGCTCCTGGCCTGCTAGGTGGGTCACTTGGCTCTCAGATTTTAGAAAGCCGGGTAGAAAATTTCAGATTCAGCTGCGTGTTCTGTGCTGGTTTGGCAACGTTCAGCATTGAGGCTGCCTGATAACGGAGCAGCACAGCTTGGGCTGTAGGAATCCAGGCTTCTTGAGTCTTTCCGGCTGCCCTTTTAGTGTCTGAGTCATTCTCTCAGGGTTGTCATTACTTCTCTTTCTGGGGAAAGACAATAATAGAAGCGATGGCTGAAATTTGTGCTGCTGGTTCCCCTGGCTCGGGGCCAGCAAGCAGCTTGTGTGAGACATCGGTGCTTTTCTAACTTGTGGCCTCATTTGAAATGTCTGCAGATGACCAGGAGCCGCGGGAGCCTTTGAACTCGATTGAGAAAGAAGCCGAAGCTGAGTTGGCCAATCACCAGCCCAAAGAGGAACAGCGGAAGAATGACTGCAAGAAAAGCAAGAAATACTCTCGCCTCTCCTGTTTGCGTCGCCGTCGCCACCCCCAGAAGGTGGATGAGAGCGACCTGAGTGAGGGCTTTGACTCTGACTCCAGCCAGGGCTCTACAAAGGGCAGCGATGGCTCAGAAAGTGGCTCAGAGAAGAGTGACGAGGAAGCAGAAGCTGCTTTTGATGTGGAGACGGACTCTGACATGAACAGCCAAGAATCTCGGTCTGACTTGGAGGACATGGAAGATGAGCCGGGTGAGGAGGGAAGCAGCCGAGGCAAAAGTGGGCCCAAAGAGGCCTTAAAAAACTGTGTAGATGGCAGTGGGCTTGGGGACTCTAAGATCCCGAGCATCTCTAAAACTGAGACCCCAGATTCGGCAGTGAATGGACCCGTTTCCCTGAGCACTAACGACGCGAGCATAGCCAGTAACCTCCAAGCCATGTCCACCCAGCTGTTTCAGACCAAACGCTGCTTTCGCTTGGCTCCCACTTTCAGCAACATCCTTCTGAAACCAAACTGTGAGCCAGCTGTCTTAAAGGATGGGCTGGACACCAAGCCATGCGTCAACGGAGATCTGGAGAAACCCAGCTTGGCAGAGCAAGGTAAGGACGTTGGAAACGTGTTGTGCTTCTGTGTGGAGGGCTGCAAGCTCGGAGCAGTCTGTTTGCTAAAATCCACCCCCTTCTATCCTGCAAGGTCTCCTTCAGGCAGGTTTGGATGAGCAGATTGCCCACGTACCATACAAATCTGGGGCTGGGTGTTTCCTGGAGGAGCTTTGCTCCTTGCCTGACATCTGGGATCCCATGCAAGTGAGCAAAGGAGACACCTGCAGCCAGCCAGCGTTAGCTGTTGTTCTGCTCAGCAGGCAGAATAATAATTCCAGCCAGGTGCTGAGCACCTCTGATGTAGTACCAGGGGTAATTCCAGCAGGGATTAGCAGTCTGGATTATCTTCCTCTTCCCCACATGAAATCTCTGTAATCAGATCCTTCCCAGTGCAGACGCAGTCGAGGAAGTTTTCCACGAGCCATCACGTTACCAAAACTGTTGTGGCTTGTCTGGAAGACGTGTCCTAGGTGCGTGCAAGAGGAGTTTGAGGGCCACTTTCTGTGACCCTCTGAAGGCTTCCACGCTGATTCAGTGCTGAACCAAACTGCAGCTGCACAGCAGGTGGAGCTGTGATTTCTCTGTCACCACACCATTTATGCAACCGAGTAATGCTCTGGGAAAGAACAGCTTGGAAGGGAGATCTGATGCACTACAGGGCGTTGTTTGTGTTTCAGATAAAACCACATGGGCCTGTTCAGTCTTGTTTGTCGTTCCTCCCCGCTTCCCTGGAGCAAGGAAACATTTCTGCATCGTGCTGCCAGACTCAATGGGCCTGATTCAGGCTCTGCCTGGGTTAGGATTTGAAGGGGAAGCATTAGATCGTGGGAGCAATTTGTGACTCCCAGCTTGGCTCTGGAGCCACTTGAAAGACTTTGAGGGAAAGAAAGAAACAAAAGGGGTTTGGTCTGCTTAACATTTTCCTTTATATATTCAGTGGGCTATGCAGAAGCTGCAGACCCAGCAATGTATCTGAATCGTGTGGCCCTGTTGCCTTTATAGATGCAGAAAGTGAGAGGTTGAATGAATCCCTGTGCTTTTTGGCTTGGAGCTCCCCTTCCCTCAGCTGTGCTGTTTCAAAACCGGGGCTAGTTCACGGTTTTAACGCTCTGTTGGGGGTGGTTTCTGAATAAATTGCTTCCTCCCTTTTGATTCTGAGCATTTATTGAGTGATAATCACTGTGCTAATGGACAGAAGTGACTGTGCAATTAAAATAAGGGACTGGAGTAGAACACAGCCGATCCCACGCTTGCTGCTACCTTGACCTCAGGTCGCTCGTGTAGCTGGCCTGATGTTGTCATCGAGGGATGTTGCTGTGCCCTGGATGCTGGCTTTGAGATCCTCGGGTCTGTGGAATGACAAAATGGCAAAACATATTCAATATTTAAGTTCTTGTGGTCCCCTGGCTCGTAAAATAATGCTGTTTTTTGCTCTTGTGTAGCCCAAAGCAGGGTGCACGTTGACCCACTTGGTGGTCTCTGTTCTGTGCAGTGAACGATGCCGTCCTCGTGCTGGCACGTGCTGTTCCCCCCTGCTCTGTTGCAGAGTCTCAGAGGCAGCTGCAGAGGGTTAAGACTTCTGTCAGGTTTTTACAGAGCCATTTTAGCAATCTTCTATCACTGAGGAATAAAGTGCAACAGCAATACACTCATCAACAGCACAGGGGGCAGAGAACTGGCTTTGTCAGGATATGCAGAGGCACTGACAAGTTCCACTTGACTCTTCCAGCTCAGCACTGTTCTCACACCCGTAAGGCTTGGCTTCTCGGGGGGTTTAATGCCTGCCATCATCTCGTTTTCCCTTTTATTTTTCCAGACGATGTGTCCGACTCTGAGGAGAGCATTTCAAGTAACAAATCCTGCAGGAACGAGCGATCCCTCCAGGAGAAGCTGGAGATCGTGACCAACGAGGGGCTGCTTCTCACCGTCAAGGTGTTCCTGGACTGGCTGAGGACAAACACAGACCTCATCATCATGTGTGCTCAGGTGGGAACTGGGCTCGGTGTTTGCTCCAGGGCTGTGTCTGTTCCGATCACCTGGGCTGGGCTGGGCTGGTAAGGCCATAATGAAACTGTTGGCCCAGTCCTGGACAGGAGGTGAGGTTCCACACCCCACCAGCTGAATTAAGAGCATCGTGGCCTCAAGAAGCGTAGTAAAATTTATGTTTTTAAAGCATTTTGAGGTCTGCGAAAGAGAATGGGAAGCCCACGTGGCCTGGTTACTGCATACATCTATCCTGACGATTTCTGTGGCCTTTTGTGTTTTGTTCTGCAGAGCTCTCAGAGCCTGTGGAACAGGCTGTCTGTGCTCCTGAACCTTCTGCCTTCTGCTGCAGACCTGCAGGAATCAGGTAGGGGAAAAGGAAAGGACAACGCAGTGTTTCAGCAAGCCTCAGGTGGTTTTTCCATGTTTCCAGTAGCAGTTTGCTTTAAGCCCAATGCGAAGTGACTTCTTCCATGTGTTATTTTCTTATTTAAACACTGCTCCAGTTAAATACTGTCCTATAGACTTCAGCTCCATGAATCCATGATGTGGGGCTGCCTATAACCAAAACTCTCACACCTGTGTGCGTGCAGTCCTTGTGTGGCCAACCTGATTGGAATCAAGACCATAAGTGAGGGTCTGATTGCATCGTGGCAGTCATGGAAATCAGTTTTCAACCTTTGGATGCTCACGATGTGCCCTGCACCTCAGCCTAAAAACCCACGTGGGTGTTAAGAAGCATAGTTTGGAGGGATGCTTCTCTTTTGGAAGGGATGGGAAAGCTGACCCTCCAAACTACAGCTTTTCTGACCAGAGAGGAGTACCTCAGCAGGTTGTTTGGAGCAGTTACTCTTCATATTGTGGGTGGCCTTTTTGTTAACAGCATTCCTCCCCCAGCACATGTTCACAGTACCTATGTAATTACAAACCTCCGCCCTTGTTCACCGTGCATTATGTGCCTTAGAGCATTTTTCCTCTGTCTCGGCATCAGTTGTTTCAATCAGCATATGTTGGTGTGCTTCTCCTCCCTCCTTCCCAGGACTGGACCTTTGTAATGAAGTCAAGGACATGCTGAGCGGCGCCGAGCTGCCAGACCTGCACACCAACTTGCTGCTCCCAGAAGATGTGGCCCTGCGAAATCTGCCCCCTCTGAAAAATGCACACAAGAGGTTTAACTTCGAGCAGGACCGACCGATTTTCTCAGCAGTGGAGGAGGTGAGTCAGGGTAAATCCCGAATCTTGGCACGAACTGCATTTGCCTTTCTGGAAGTGCAGCTTATCTTAGCCGTGCAGGTGAAGATCTAGATCTTTTTATCACCAAAACAGACCCCAGAGTGACTCAGACTCTTGAGTCTGAGTTCATGTTGTTATTGGTGGTTGCTGAAGTCATCTGTGTCCAAAAACCCAGCGTGCTTTCCCTCCCCTTCTCTGTCAGAATCATTATGAAAGGAAGCACAGTCACATGCCAGCCTTGCTGCATGCAATCTCCTGACCTCTCTGTCTGGACAGAAGAGTTTTGTCTCTGCCCTGCCTTGGATGAAAGGGTCAGAGTTGCAGGATACGTCCTGTGATCCTACACAAGAAAAAGCAGAAGTTGGTGAAACGTTGTGTTTTGTGGCGCTGCGTGCCCTCGCAAAGCACTTCTGTCTGTTTCCCCAAATGTAAAGGACCAAGGTGATAATTTAGGGGTGGTGTAGCTGTCTTCAGAAAGAAAACAACGAACAACTGGTCTTCTGTTTTGCATTGCTGGACCAGTCTGCTTCCTTCGGGGTGGGGAATATGCTAACATCTTAACCCCACGCTGTTAAATCGCAGCCTGGCTGGGTGAGGTCCTGAACGTCCTCTCAACCTGCTGGGGCAGCTGGAGCAAAGAGCATCAACGTCACTTCCCACGTGAGCTCACCTTTTGCTGCCTTCTCCCAGCAGCACAACAAAGAGTAGTGCCTGCCCCAAAACAAGTGTAGAGGTTGTAGTTCCATTTGATTTCTTCTCCCAGCTCGAGCAGAGGTTTCTGAGGGAAAGCCTGTGGATGTTTTCTGGAGCTTTTTTGAGCTGAGGAAACCCAGGTTGCAAACACCAAACACTTCTCAGCTTTCTGGCCAACTGTAGACTTTCCCTGCAGCCCTCGCCACATGTCCCTCTATTCAGCAGCACGTTTTCATCAGAAATATTTCCTCTGAGGGTTGTTTTCTGCTTCTTTGCAGTCTGTTGTTCGGATTTGCTGCATTCGGAGCTTTGGCCACTTCATTACCCGCTTGCAGGGCAGCATCCTGCAGTTCAACTCAGAGCTTGGGATCTTCATCAGCATAGCACAGTCAGAGCAAGACAACTTGCTGCACCAGGCCCAAGCCCAGTTTCACATGGTGAGTTGGCAGAGGTGGGCTCATTCTCTATGCTTGCCACAATTTCCTGCATCATTCCTATTAAATTGGAACTATAATCAAACAGATTTGGGGTTGGAGTTGGAAGTTTTGCTCCTGTTACCCTCCAAAAGCTACTCAGGTGTCCCCTTTTCGCCCTGTTTCTGCAAGTGGCTGCTTGTGCCAGTTCGTGTTTCCTGCTAATTGATTTGGAAGTTTGTTTTTGTAACTAGGCTGCAGAGGAAGCTCGACGGAACAGGCTAATGAGAGATATGGCTCAGCTTCGATTGCAGGTAGGAGACCTTTGCTTGCTGTCTAAACCCTGGCAGAGTGACACCCCTGAAATGTCTGAAATTGGGAAGGGAAGGGGGAGATCTCCCTCCCTTTTTCCCATTCCATGCAGAATTAAGAAGTTTTCTCTGCAAAAGAGAGCTGTGATGGGTGGGATGGAACCGACCACTTCCAGCTCTCTGCTTCCTGCACAACTTCTCTGTGCTGGACGGTTGGGAGGGTCGGATGGAGCACCGTGAGGGGAATTTTGCCTCTTTCCATCGTTTGTTTCAGCGTAATGTTAAAGCAAATCTCTTTGTGTTTCTCTGTGTGTTTCAGCTGGAGGTTTCTCAGCTGGAGGGAAGTCTCCAGCAGCCCAAAGCACAGTCAGCCATGTCTCCTTACCTTGTCCCGGACACCCAGGCCCTCTGCCAGCACCTGGCTGTGGTCAAGCAGCTGGCCACCAGCGGGAGGTTCATAATCATCATCCCTCGAATAGGTACGGGAGCTCTGCTTCGTGTCATGCTGAGAAATTCCTGACACATCTGGATGAGTTTGCTAAGGCAGATGGCTCTGTTTCTTTTTTTATTTCTGTTAGTGATCGATGGCTTAGACTTCCTGAAAAAGGATAACGCAGGTGCTCGGGACAGCATCCGGTATCTGGAGGCAGAATTTAAAAAGGGAAACAGGTGAGAATGGGAGAGGGAGGTGCTCTACCCTTGGTTTTGTAACGGGGGTATTTTGGGATGGAAGGAAGCATCAGAGGTGGGAGCAGGCTGTGCATCCCTTAGAGCAGAGTGAGGAGTGGGCCGAGGGAAAGCCAGGCCTCAGGAATGTGCTTGGCAAGAGGGGAGGTGGGGAAATAACAGATTTGGCAGCTGGCTCTCCAGATGGGCTTGTCCATGAAATGTGGCTGCTTCCGAGGAGCGGAGTCGCAGCTCTTCAGCAGCATTGCGCAGGTTTGCTGCAGCAGGACAAACAGCAGCACTTCTGCAAAGACAAAGTGCACCTTCAAGGCTTGTGTCAGGGCTGGCAGCCTTGGAAACGCTTGTGGGATCTGTGAAGTGCACCCAGTGGCGGTGATGAGAGGGGGGAGGCGGTCTGAGGGGCTTCACAGGGGGTTTCTGGAGCCATCCTTTAGGTATTAGTCTGGCTGATAAAAGCCAGAGGTGCCTGGGGACCCTGACAGACCTGTTGTAGAGCACCGACTGCAGTCTGTGTGACAGCCTCAGTGTGAGCTCAGTGACTCTGATCTTTCCGTAGGTACATTCGTTGCCAGAAAGATGTCGGGAAGAGCTTCGAGAGGCATAAATTGAAGAGACAGGATTTAGACGCCTGGTAAGATGACAGCAGCTGGAGGTGTCTGAGCCCGATTCCCAGCAGGCAGGTGGTTCTGGAGAGAAGTGTTAGCGCTGGGAGCAGTCCTACAGCTTGCTTGGTTTGATGTTGTGTGGGTGACAGTCAAATTCCCCAGAGAGGGTGGGGAGGGCGTCCTTCTGCGCATCGTGTGTGACACCAAACGCTTCTGGCCCTAAAAAGGGTCCCAGAAAAGCCCTCAACAGGCAGCAGAGAAGCAGCCCTGCTTTCAGTGCATCATCCTAAGAATATTTGAAACTGTTTGCACAAACAAGTGGTCTCCCCTCTTTCTCTTTTCTTTGCATCTGCGTGGCAGGAATCTCTATAAAATCCTGGACAGCTGCAAACAGCTGACGGTGTCCCAAGGGAACGGAGAGGATGACACCACGGGGATGGTCACCATCATCACAGGCTTTCAGCTGGAAGACCCAAGCACGCTTTCAGCACCCATGCAGGTCAGTAACTCCGTGCTGAGCTCAGCCCTCCTGCTTCCTAGCAAGATTAAAATCCGGTTGGGTTGGCAAGAGGGTTTTTATTTAATGTTTTCTGCAGTGAGTAAAAACAGTCCTGGATTTCCCAAATTTAGTTGGAAGCTCTTGGTCCCCGCACATATTTCCTTGAAGGCCCCTCGATCCAGCATGCTGTAGTGGTGCAAAATAATCCTGGGGGAGGAGAGGGAAGTGATTTGTGTGTCTGTACAGGCCTTTAATGCCACAGCAACTTCAGCATGAAGGAGAGCTGGGCCTTCTAGCCGTGGCCGAGAATCTCTAGGTGGTGAAGGGCAAGAAAAAAAATAACCTGTGGTGTCTGTTTGCTTGCAGTCTGCCATCCAGGCAGCCACCAGCGCCAGCGTAGAAATAAAAAACGTTCTGGAGTTCTACAAGCAGTGGAAAGAGATGGGCTGATGTTCAGAAGGGCATCGGGTTGGTGTACCTTTCTCTCCCCCTCTCGGAACGTGCAGCGTCTGAACAAAGGAAACAAACATCCAGGCGACACTCAGCCACGAAGCAGCAGCAGCAGCAGCAACGACAATAAGAAAAATACCTTCAAAAATTAAAAAAAAAAAGAAGAAAATAATAAAAAAAAAAATCAAATCTGATTCGGCACGCACACGGACACCCGCCACCTGCACCCCAACCAGACGGCTGCACATCTCTGACGGCGCCAACTGCTCTGAGAAGAGAGAGGCAACCTCGGCACGGCCGAGGCAGAGCTCTGCCCTTCTCCCAGTCGGCAGGGACGGGCGAGAGACGGGCAGTCATCCATTTTTTCCCCCCTTCCTTCCCCACCAAAAGCTTGCTTGGTCAGCTGAAATGGGCAGGCGGCTTCAAAGCGTGGACTCGACTTAAACGGAACCGAACCAGCAGAGCAGACACGGAGCCCCCCGAGCTTGGCAAAGAAGATCCAAAGAGTGTTGAGCTTTTGCTTGGCAATCTGGTGACAGGAAAACGTACTTTTTTTTTCTCTTTTTTTCCCCTTTGAATGAATTATTTTTCAAGGATTTTTTTTTTCCTTTTCAATCCTTAGTTTTTCTATCTATAAATAATATTAAAAAAAAAAAAAAGAAGTGGAGTTCCTTTGGGGTTCTGGATACTCTTCCAATGTCAGAGAGAAAAGGAGACAATGATGCTATTTAAAAGGGGGGGGAAAAAAGCTCTTAATATAATTTTTTGTTTTTTGGAACAAGCATATTTATTTCCTTTCCCTGTCCCCATGGAGCGGGCTCAGTGCAAAGGGATGTTGGCCTGCGAGAAGAGCGCTGCGCCCGTGGCCTTGGTGCACATCCTTGCTTCCTCGACGAGCTGCACACTTCACGAGCAGTAAGGGATCGACCAGGCTGCTCGAGAGAGGTGAAAAGGACTCTTCCCCTGCCTTTTTTCTCCTTTTCCCCCTTCCCCGCTCCCTCCCGCTTCTTTGCTTCCAGCCTCAGGCCTTGGAGGAAAGGAGTCGAGTCCAGCAGAGCTGCTGGAAGAGGAAGAACCACGCAGGATTCAAGCCCCAGTGAGGCTCAACCACTCGGTTGGAATGCAGAGACTGAGATGGATCAAACCAGCAGACACCAACAGTCCCAATGCCTCTTTTTTTTTTCCTTTTTTTCCTTTTTTTTCCCCTTTTTTTAAACCTTGCAGTGAGGCGTTAACGGAGGAAGCAGGATCTCAAAGCCATTCTCTATTCTGCTGGCTGTTCTGCCACCACTGCTGCTACGTCCTGCTGGAGAGGGTGGCAGAACTGGAGTGGTCGTCGTGTTCCCCCCTCCTCGCAGCTCACAAACTGTCCAGTGCTTTTAGCATCCCGCGAAGAAGGGAAGCTGCTCCACGGCTGGATGCTGGAAGATCAAAACTCCCCGCCTGAGCTTTCGAGGGCCCTTTCAGACCTCCATCCACCTCCAGCAACCTGCGTTTGACGTCCCGTCACGTGCTGATGCCTGGAAATGAAGACACGGGTTGCTCCCAAGACAGCTTGAGCGGTGGGAGACGGGGCCGAAGGGCCTCTTGGTAATTCATCTGCGGCAACGGGATGGAGATCCAGCTGTCTCTGCCCACGTGAGCTAACAGCAGCTATGCAAGTCAAAACCACTAGTCCTCTCCGCTCGGTTGTTTTTCACGTGGGCCAGCCAGAAGCTGCTCCAAAAGCCTTCCTCCCGCCATGCGTTGTACTGGAGTTGGCAGGATGTTCCTTGTTTTCAGGTAAAAAAAAAGAAAAAAAAAAAACAAAGGAAACATAGCACAAGTCCCAGCTGCTTCGTTTGTCTTGTATTTTGTGTTCCCTTTGCAGCATGCAGCCTGGTAGCACAGCGGGGAGAGAATGCCAAGCTTTAAATTACGCCCGGAGCTGGCCCCAGCAGGGCCACGCACTCGAGGAAAGGCGAGGGGAGAGGGGAGAGGAGAGGGACAGCGTTTCCCTGCTGATTTTTTTCCTTTTGCAGCTTCTCCCAAAAACCTGCAGGGCTTTCCTTGGCTAAACCAAGGAACCGCCACCAGTCAAAGACTCCGGCTCTTCCTGGGCACGGTTCAGAGATCTCAGGCGGGCTGTGAAGCTGGTCGCTCCCCCCGTGCTCCCAATTTTTTTTTATTTTGAAGCTGTTTCTTTGTCCTAGCTCCTTCTTTTTAATTGATGGGGATGGGAGAAGAAAAGAGAAGCCCCCTGTGGGCCTGGGAGCAGAGCAGGGACCCCCTCCCCTCTGGGGGCCTGGAGAGTGCTGAAATGCCCTCCTTGTTCACTAGGGGCCTGGCTCAGTGGGATTTTTTTTTCCCCCTTTTTTTTTTTTTCCCCTGCTGCTGAAGAAAACCATCCTCCTCCGTGCTGCAGGGCAGAAGGGGCTGCAGCCTGCACCTCCCTGGTGGAGCCCAGCTGGGGTTGCAGTCCCCAGGCTCAACTCCCGTTCCCTTCTTGGCACCTAGTGCCAAGTGTGGAGGGTTTTGGGGGGGTGTTGCTGCTCTGAAAGCCGGAGGCTGAGGTTTGGGGACGTTTTTCAGCTTTGCCCTGGGCCTGGTGCTCCCTTGGCTGGAGCTGGAGGAGGGGGAAACGCAAATAAAGCAGTGCCCAAAAGGGAATTCCCCTCGTGCTGGCGGTGAGAGCGTCTCGGTTCTTCCTGGAGCTGCTGGGGGGGGACAGGACCAGGGCTGGGGGCCAGGGCTGGAGCTGTCCCCAAACAAATAAATTGGCCATTTCTGCACCAAACCCTCTTACGAAGCCCCAGGGCAGGCTCAGAGGGATTTTTCCTGAAAGGCAGCGAGGCTGTGCCCCCGTTCTCCTCATCCACACCCCCTAGAGCCTGCCCTGCTCTCCGGAGGGGTTGTTTTAATATAACCCCAATGTGTTTTTTTCCACCTGGAGAGGAAGAAAAAGCCCCAGCCCTTCAAAGGGACATCTTAAAAACCGCCAACAAGCCCAAGGGGAGGTGGCAAGCTGCCGGAGGCTCAGCTTGGCACCTTTAAGGTCAGATTAAGGGAAGATGCTGAGCCCAGGACCCCTGCTCCGTGGTTTCCCCACAGCCTGGGGCAGCCCTCGAGCCTTGCAAAAACCCCTTCTGATGCACTGCTCAGCCACACGGTGCTATTCCCCTGGCCCTGAGCGTTTTAGGACTGGCTCCGAGCTTGCCCCATCACCCCCTCCATGCTGGGAAGCAGAGCAAAAAAATAAGAGGAAAAAAAAAAAGGTAATTTGCGGGCTAAAAGCGCTGTTTTTACTGTGTTTTCACGGGCTGTGCCAAGCGCCTCTTCCTGCCTTCCCATCCTTGGATGCCACCTGCAACGCCGCGGATTTTTGGCTCTTTTTCCCTTCTGAACATCCAGCAGAACTGCCCCGGGGATGGGAGGAGGAAATGGGGTGGGCAAAAATTGGGGTGGCTGCAAGAATGAGCGAGGGGGGAGGGCTGGAGCCCTGCGCCGCGGGTCCTGCCTCTGGCTGCGAGGCACGAGGCAGCGTCTCCCCTTCCAGCCTCCTTTTTGGAGCCCAGACGAAGCCCAGGCTGTGGATTTGTGCCCGGGTTGCTCTTGCTGGGGGGCCGAGGGCACCTCCAGGCGGGACGAGGAGCTCGGGGGCTCTCACGGCGTGTGTCTGGATGCGGACACGGCGGCTGGCTCAATAAAACACACGACGTTTGTACCCCTCGTTCTGTCCTCGTTCCCAGCCCCTGTTTCTCCTCTAATTACCTGGCTTCTGAGCTGGGTCCGTTTTTAATGCACAAATCAACTCTCAGACACGATTTCCTAACCAAGCTTTGTGCTTTTCAGAAGGGAACGACTGCCCAAAGCCTTGCCATCTCTACCCCATTTGAATTTCTTGACCCGGTGGCATGATTTGGTTCATTTTGGGTGAGATCTGGGGATTTCCTTCCTTATCCCTAAAGCAGGGATGTTATTTCCTTTGCTCCTTTCGCTCCTCAGCTCGTGGGGGGCTGCAGGGAGCCCGTGGGGCTTTTCCTCCTCTTTGGTGTTCCAGTCCTAACCCTGCACCTCCTGGGGATGTCCCCAGAGCTGGTAACTGGGGCCAGGAGCCCCCCAGGGGTGGGAGCGGGCCGTGCCTCAGTTTCCCCAGCTGGACCCGGTGCCCCGGCCGAGCCGTGGCCAGGTCAGTGCCGGGGCTGCAGGAGCTGAATTTGGGGCCGGGTGTGCACGCAGCCTGGGTGAGCAGGAAGGGATAAGGCACCGTGCATGGGACCAGGGTCCAATTACCCACCCCCACCCCATCAAATCTGGCCTTAACGAAGCACTGGCTCATTAAGAAATCGCTGCCCTTCACACCTCCCATGCCTGGGGTCAAGCAGCATTAAATTAAAGTGAATTAACACCGGGGCTGCTCATCGCCGGTGCTGGGAGAGGGAGGAAGAAGAGGCTGGGAGCCTTCGGCCTCACGGGGGGGGGGACACGGAGGAGCCTCCCCCCCAACCCCAGAGTAGGAAGGAGCCGGCTGCACGGTGTGAGCTTTTATTTCTTTCCACAATTAATGGAGGGGAGCATTAACGAAGGGTGGCCCGGGGCACGGCACCCACGGGACCACGGTGCCACCGGGGGGGGGCTAAACGGGGCCGTAGAAGCGCCGGTAAGCCTCCTGGAAGCCGATGTGGTCGGCCAGCTCGTCGCAGTCGGGGTTCAGCTCGCACACCTCGCGCTTGGCCTCCAGCGGGTTCCAGGCGGGTGCAGCTCCCTGGACGCTGCTGGGGACGGATGGGGGCACGCAGAGAGGGTTGGGGAGGGGCAAAAAGGCACCCAGGGAAAGGACCTGGCAGCAGGGCCCCTCCCCAGAAATGGGATTTCATCACCTGGATGGGGAGCGAGGGTTACCTGTCATAGACGTAATTCCTCTTGTGTCTCCGCGTCATCTCGGCGCTGGCACGTTTGGAGATGAAGGCTACGGGGACAGAGCAGGGGGTGAGGGAGGGCCGGGTCCTCCCCCACCCATCCCATCTTCGTCCCCGTCCCCATTCCCGTCCCCGGGGTGTCAGGGCCGTGTCTGGCCACGGGCACCACGGGCACTCACCTTCGGAGCTGGGCGACTCGTCGGCGCTGACGGAGTGCTCGGGGGCTGCAGGGGAAGGGTTGAGGTGCTCAATACCCCCACTTTGCCCCCCCCAGATGCCCCCTCAGCCCTGCTCCCAACCCAGTCCCCTGCTCCGATCCCTCACCCAGACCCCCAAAAAGCTAACAAAGGATCCAGGCTCCTGATCCCTGTCCCATGCACCTGCGCCACCTCACCCAAAGCTCAGAAAACCTCTCCCCGAGCCCCTCTGCTCCCCCCAGCTCACGGCGTAGGTCCCCTCCCCACAACCCGGCACCCCCCTAAAATGCCCCATACCCCTGCGGCAGAGGCCTGAGGGTCAGGAGGGCCAGCAGGAGCAGCAGGACGAGGGCCTTCATGGTGCCCGGCCGTGCAGCACCGCGCTCGCTGCAGCCCCCGGTCCCCGCTCAGTTTTATAGGGCGCTGTCAAGGAGGGGCCCCGCAGCCCCGCCAGGGCTATTTCCAGCGCATCCGCTGGGGCCGGGAGCTGCCGGCACAGGCGGCAATTGTGGTTTTGGGGTGAACTCAGTTCCCCTGCGAGCGGCCGGAGCCCGCAGGGAGGGAAACACGGCCCCGGGCCAGCAGAGAGTGGCCGGTGCCCGCGGCCGGTGCCCGCCTGGCAGCACCGAGTCTCCGACCCCTAACGGGACGGGAGATGGGGCAGCAGGGGGAGATTCCTTGCCACGCTCCCCAATCTGGGCTCCCAGTGGGCTCGTGGACACGCTGGGAGCATTTCCTGACAAAATCCATGAGGGTTTCCCCTTGGCACACGGGTTAATTTTTGCCTGGGGACGACGCACGCTCCTTCAGCGGCAGCCGCTCGAGGTCAGCGGGGCCGCTCCCCATGCCAAGCCCCAGGAGGAGAAGGCCAGCAGACACCAGCAGCTGTCCCAGGCCACATCCTCTCCAGCACCTCGTAAAACCCCAAATCAGGGCTTTGGGAGAGCAAAAAGCGGCTGCTGGCACAGGGCAGGTACTGAGTGGTGGGAAAGGGGACAGGAGAAGCTGGAGAAGGGAACCCTCAGGTTCCTCCTTCCCTTTACTTCTTCTTCCCAACTCCTCGACACGAGCAGAGCTCAGAGCCTTCGGCCACCCCTGGCAGCTGGCTCAGGACTCGAAGCAGTGCGAGCTTCCTCGAGCTGCCCAGGATGTTCCCCTTGGGATCCTGACCACTTCCCAGCCGCTCAGATCCTACAAATCCTGCCCTGTCCTGAAAAGCGGAACCGGAGGCTTTGGGGTGGAGGAGGAGAGAATTCCTGAAGCCAGAGCCTTTGACAAACAAACCCATAAAACTATAGAGTACGTGGGCCAAGGAAGCACAGCAGGAGCCAAGACCGGGGGGGGGGGAAAGCAACAGCCCCAATTTATTTAGATTATAATGCAGCGAGGGAAGGCTTGTTTATGACAAAAGGAAAATATGCCCAAGTCAGTCAATCACAGGCTGTAACAGCCTCTAATTGAAACCAGAGGCTTGTGCTTGCTGGAAATTGCTACCTTTGTTCTCAGAATTCCTGGTTCGACACCGCACCAGGCAGCTTGCACCGACAGCCCCAGTGCAACGCAGGCCAGGGGCTGACAGGTGAGGACCCGCAGCTTTTGGCAGACCTGGCATCTGCTGGAAACGCTTGTGACTGAGCCCTGCCAGGCCCAGTAAGGCTCCTCGTTATCTTCCCAGCCCTGATGAAGGACTTTCTCCTTCCTCTGAAGAGCAGCCTCGCTTGTAGGGTTTCAGTACAGGCCCTTGCAGGCAGCCTCCAGTTAAGTGCTTGCTCCTGTGGCTGGCAAATTTCAGACAGGATGGTGAAGAGCCACTCTGGGGGATGTAATCAAACCCACCTGTGGCTTACAGATGCAAAAAATCAACAAGGAGGTTTCTTAGGGAAATATTCAGTCCCTTTACACGAGCCCACAAAGCCACAGCAGGGCCACGCTAAGCCCTGCTCAGCTCCACACGAACAAGGGACAGGTCCCTGCGTCCTATGCACTGTGGTTTTCAAGAAGTGCCCTCCCCATGTACCGTGCTCGTCTGTGCGTAGCAGAGCAGGGCTGGAAAACAGCTGGGAAAAAAAAGAATATTATGGCAACGAGGAACCTGATGGGATAGGGCAGATGCTGACATCCTTTCTCAGGGGTCATGGGCAGAATTATTTAAAGAAGTGGGAACTGGACACGAGCACCTACAAACACAAGGCACAGGAGGAGTCTGATGTGGGCTCCTCACTCCTGAGCGCAGCACAACCACCCTCTGTGCTTTTTTTTTTTTATGTATAAGGCACCGATTTTTCTATAATTTGCACCTAAAATGCCTTTGAGGTCTCCAATTTGGCTTTAGCATGCCAGAATAACGCTCGTCGTAGTGCTAAGAAAGCGTGTGAGAGCTAAAGAAGTGTGGGGATGTACAGACACACTCTGGCTATCAGACCTGGGGGCATACAAATTAGTCATCTGGTCCCAAACATCCTGATGTGATTTCATATTTCTTCACAAACTTGGAGCAAATTGTGTAAGTCCAGCAATTTTCTGGTTCTACTGCAAGTTTCTTTCAGGCGGAGAAGATGAGCTCAAGTTTGCATGGTTTGTACGTGCCACACGGTGTCCCACGTCCCGAGGCATCGTCAGTGCTTCAGAGCTGAAGATAAAATTCCTACGTGGAAGGTGCAGAATCTCTCTGCTTCCTCACTGGGGCTCCTTGAAGGTCATGATGAGTTCTCGTTGCTCTTTGCTAATCGCCTAGAAGGAAAAGAACCACCACCAACTTCAGCACAGTGCTTTTCTCCACAGTTGCCACTGCCCCCAGCACCTACAGAATACAACCCACCGATTTTAAACGTTTGCCCCCTGGAACATCCCACTCAGCACGCTCTGGGAGCGCCCAGGGAAAACCATCCAAGGCTTCCACTGAAAATTCTCAGGCCTTCCAGGCCAGCGTCAGCAGTTTTTGGCTCTTGGTGAGGCCTTTCATGAGCGAAGGGCTTAAATATAGTGCAGCCGTTTGCTAGTCAAACCACAGCACAGCATTTCTCTCAGGATGATGCCAACAAGAAGAGGATTTTTAAATTATTATTATTATTTTTTTTACCTGCCAGGCTTGTCTGCGAGTGTCTATCAGCTGCTGCAGCTTAGCAATCTGATCCCTCCCTGCGAGCACAGACTCTGCTAGCTTCCTGTTTTCTTCCTCCTTCTCCTTCAGGACTTTCTGCAGGTACGACTTGTGCTTCAGGAGGTAGGGCACCACGGCGCTGCGAATGTCTTCTTCTGGGATCCCACTGGGCCGCCTGTGAAGGACCAGGACGTGAAGCCACCAGAGGGGCTCGATTCCCCTCAGCAATTAGTCTCACACGCTGTAATTGGAAGTTGTGCTTTGCCAAAATGCATCAAATCAGCTCACCAAGCCCAGCAATTTACCTTCAGCACTGCCCAAGCCTGGATGGGCAGATATAACGGGATGTGCACCCGTGGTGTAGCCCCTTGTGGGGCACGTGAGGAGAGGGAATCCTCCCCAAAACTCCGCAGTGAGCTGAGGTGTGGAGGCAGGGGATGTAATTAACCTCCCCAAACACAGAAACAAGGAATCATTATGATGATTTTGATTAAAAGACCCGGCTTAGAGAAGCACAGACAGAAGAGTTTTCAGATGTTTTAGAAACGGTGACGTTGCTGTTAAGGTCTGTGGGGTTTTGGAGGATCCCAAAAGCACCAGACCTACACAGCACATCAGCAGGGCCCGGACATCCCACGGAGCTGCCTCTGGGCTTCCCAAACCATCTTCCACCAAAACAGCTCTTACCAGGCGGGCTCTTTCCAGTCTTTTGCCTCCTCCACGATCTTATCCAGCGAGTTGAAGAGCTCCTCCAGGTTCCCCTCCTTCTTCACCTCCTGGATCTCCTCCTGGCAGGGAAGGCACCAGAGGGATTCAGAAAGGCATCGCCCTGCTCACCTACCCCTGGTTCTCCCCAGGGGAAGGCTACAACCTTTCCTGAGGAAAATAAAGCCTGGCAGACCACCCGGGGGGGTTTCTAACTGCTTTTTTTCCCTATTTTAAGGCGTATTTGCCACCGAGCAGGGGGGTTTTCCACCTGGGGCTCGGAGCTTGCGTCCACCCCGGGATCCCCCTTCCCCTTTTCACCTTGATGGAAGCCTGCAGCTGGGCCACGAACTGGTCGTAAATGCTCCTGGTCAGCTCGGGCTGCAGCCTGTAGAAGCGGTGGTAGCAGCTGGCGAACCTCTGGTAGCTGCAGAGCCAAAAAAAAAGGGGGGGGGAAAGGACCGGGCATCAACCACCGGGGCGCGGAGCCTTCTTCTCCTCCCCCATCCCCTTCATCCTCACCTCCCCGCCGCCACCAGCTTCTCCATGAAGGCGTCCACCACGGCTGCGAAGAGCTGCCCGCGGCCGAGGACGCCGTCCCCGAGCTCCTCGGGGCCGCCATCGCCGCCCGCCGCCGTCCCCTCAGCCCCGCCGCTTCCCGCCTCAGCCGCGGCCGCCGCCATTTTGCCGCGGCCCCGCCGCCATCAGCGCGCATGCGGCGGGCGCCAAAACCGCCCCCCCCCGCTCCTTCCCCCCCCCGAGGCTCCCCTCAGGGACCGAAATTTGGGGAGGGGGCTGAGAGGGGAGTGATAGGGGAGGAACTGGGGACACTGGGGGATATGAGAGTGATGGGGGGATAGGGACACTGTGGGGACACACTGGGAGTGACTGGGGGGAGCTAGGGGGGGGGACAGGGGGGAGGAATGGGGGGGCACGAGAGTGATAAGGGGGGACAGGGGAGCAATGTGGGGACACACTGGGAGTGATGGGGGGACACAGGGGGAGACACAAGGAGTGACTGGAGGGGACTGGGGGGGACACACGGGAGTGACACAGGAGTGACAGGGGGGACACACGAGAGTGATGGGGGGACACGGGGGGAGACACAAGAGTGACTGGGGGGGGCTGGAGGGGACACAGGAGTGAGTGGGGGGGGACACAGGAGTGATGGGGGTACAGGGACACTGGGGGAACACACAGGGAGTGACTGGGGGGGACACGGGGGAGACACAAGAGTGACTGGGGGGGCTGGAGGGGACACAGGAGTGAGTGGGGGGGACACACGAGAGTGATGGGGGGACAGGGACACTGGGGGGACACACTACAAGTGATGGGGAGACACGGGGGAGACACAAGAGTGACGGGGGGGACATGGGAAGGACACAGAAATGACTGAGGGGGACACACAGGAGTGATGGGGGTACAGGGACACTGTGGGGGGACACGAGAGTGACTGGGGGGACATGGGGAGGACACAGGCAGTGATGGGAGTACCTGGAGGGACACGGGGGGGTGACTGGGGGGGACACAGGGAGTGATGGGGGGCAGAGGGGACACGGGGGGGGGCACTGGGAGGGACTGGAGGGGACATGGGGAGTTGATGGGGGGACACCGAGCACCCACCCCAATCCCACCAGAGCAGCCAGGGTGCTTCAACCTGCTTTTTTCTTTCTTTTTTTTTTTTTCCTGGCTTTTTTTGGCTTTGTGCAGGTCACTGCCAGCGGCCGCTCGCTCGGGCTCTGCCGGGGAGGTTCCTCCTGGTGCTGCTTCAGAAGGCAAAATGTGAAAAGAAGGACGCGATGCTGTGGGGTGACGGGAACTGGCAGACCGACTCGCTTCAAGCCCAGGCATCGAGTTGAAGGTCTCAATTTTATTAGTCACCGAGAACTACTCCGGTTACGAGAGAAAAGTATCGAGCTCGAGAACATCTGCCTGCATTTGTGGGGGCTGCTGCTTCCCCTGACACCCCAAAATTCACCCTGCTGGTGCTGGGCAGAGGCTGGTTATGGTTTGGAATTGGCATCACTGCTGCCTTGGGATGAAAATGGGGCTACCACGAACTCACAACGCTTCCCTGAAATCCTGTGGTTCCACTTCTTCCAGCAGAACCAGCGGCCACAGAGCTGACTGCAAGGGAATCAAAGAAAAAACGCAACAGGAGAGCAGGCTGCAGGACACTCAGAGGCATCCGTCACCTTACCGAGTGCTGCAGACAATTAGAAGGGGGATTAAGAGGTCTTTGATGACTCATCCGCAAGCCAATTAAGGAGTGCTGCGTCTCAGAGCCGGGTTCTGCCCTCTGACTCCAGCAGTCGCTGTCTGTGCGGGTTCCACCTGTGGCAGCTGAACTGCAGACGCTGGCATCGGGCACGAATCCCTCACCGCCCGAGGTGAATCCCAAATATTGAGACCAGCAGGGTGAAATCCATCACCCCCTTCCCTCCTCCTCCTCCCCAAGCAGCAGCCTCTCGCTTCACCGTTCGGCTGCGGGTTTTTGCCGTGTCAGAAACACGCCACAGCTTCAGATTTTGATCCGGCAAGAGTGTGCAAAGAATCATCCCCGTCCTCCCCGAACAGGACCAGCAGGATTTCGGCTCAGGCTGTATTAGCAAACCATCGCTTCTCATTCAATATGAACATGCCAGTCAGGTTTGAACTGGATCAAAAGCCAGTGCAAGATTTCTCCTTCCCTACCTCCCATCCCGCTGTAGCTCACGTCAGGCTGGGCTCTCACCTCGGCTGCTGGCAGCAGAGCAAATCCGACGCTGCCGAGCTCTGCGCTGGTTTTCGCTTAAACTAACTACAGGAGGGAAGTGGCCTCAGCCACCCTGAACATGCAGCAGCGACACATTGAACAAGGCCACGGAACAACCACTCAGTCCCCCAGAAATCAGAGTAAGCTTCCCTGAAATAAAATAATTAAAAAAAAAAATTAATTAAATTAAATAACATTAAAAACACGGGTGTCAAAAATCGCCACCGACTAACCACAAACAGCCAACTCGACCCTCAACTCGCCCGTCAGCGAGGTTTGCTGTTTGAAGGATGAGAGACAGGAAACAGGTCCAAGAATATACAAAAAAAAACAAAAAGGTATGTACAGATCTATTTAAAACGCGGGAAATCAGGTTGTTAAGTGGTTCCAGGTTACTCTCTTCTCACACCAAGAAAAGTGCGTGAGTGGGGAAAGTTTCTTGGCTACGTTTAGTCCTCCAGCGTCCCACGGGACAACTGCAATCAGCACACGACCCACCAGAGGGCTCTGCTGCAGTCTGTTTGGATTCCCCTGCTTGGAAGTTTGACAGAATTTAAAATAATTTAAGGAATAAACCGGCTTTTTGCTTCAACCAGCAAGTCTTTCATTTAAATAATAATAAAAAAAAAAAAAAAAAAAGAGGGAACCGAGAATTTGCCAGGATGCATTCACGCATCTGGCTGCTCTTGAAGGAACCGTCACAGGCGTGGCCAAGGGTCACGTTTTGGGTGGTTTGGAGCAGAAAGAGCAGCAGAGCACCAAATTGCCATCCGATCTGAAGAGGTGAATTGCAGTTGCTCCTGCTTCTGCCTCGTACTGTGAAAACTCACTCCACGTTAGCTAGAGACAAAGCTTTCCACCGTGACAGTCCAGATCCAGAGGGTTGAAAGGGCAGGTTTCTCTCCCACCCTCTGCCTCTACCAGTGTCTTGAATCCACCAGCTCCGGGCGGAGGCTCAGCTTCTTCAGGGTTTCGTAGCCCACCACGATGACGATGGTGGAAGGCGTGGCGGAGATGATGCGGGCAGAGAGGCCTTTGGTCAGGCCCCAGGGCCCTTCCTCTGCCATGAGCTGCTTGAAGGTGAGGATGATGGAGCTCTTGCCTTCCACCTGAAAATCAAAAGAGAGGTTCACCGAGGTGCTAGATTTCATCCTGAGCTGCCCTGGGGCTCTGCTCCAACTGAATTCTATGGTTCAGCTGCTCCAATAACCTTCATCTAGCATCCAGAACATCAAAAGGGGGACCAAAAAAAGAGCAGCAAGCCCTAACGAGGCATTGGGAAGTTTCTTAGACCCGTCTCCTCCTTCCTTCTGTCTGCCCCTTCCTCAAAGGGGCTGGGGCTTGAGTTTTGCTCAAACCAATCCTGCTGGAAGCACCTCTCCTCTCCTGACACACTCCAGGTTTGAAGGGGAGCTTTATTTCAACAAGCAGGTAGCGAAGCCACCCGAGCTGCCTCCTCCTAACACCAAATGCAAACGAAGCAGGGAGACAGCAGCACAAAACAGCCCACGGAAGGCGAGCAGCTCACCCGAAGCCGCAGGGATCAAAGGGAGCGAACCCCACCCCGGCGTCACGCTGCTGCTGCTGCAGGGAGAGGGCAGCCAGCTTACCTGCACCCGAGCTCTGATCACATCCATGGGGTTGGTGAGCGTGGAAGCGGTGGCAGCCGCGAGCGGCCCCGAGATGGCTTGCAGGAGGAGGTGGGGACAGTCCTTAGGAGTCAGGCTGGAAAGCTGCTCTGAGGACAGGAGAGAGAATAAGGATTCAGAGAGAAGCAGCTGCTTATCAGTTCCTTTATTACACGTGCTAATTTAGCCTGATTTACAGTGGGCAGAGCTCCTGATTCACCTCCTGCCAGCTCTCCTTCCTCAGCACACCCACCCGGTGCTTTCCAAACCACCAAGGAAGTTGGCAGAGTGCAGGGAGCAAGCCTGCGAGCACCCCAGCGGCTCAGCCTTCCAGCAGCCTTTGATCAGCTCTCAGGCCTGCTGGGCAAAGCTCAGGGGTCCCCAAAACACAGCAGGGAAACAGCCCCCCCACACCTTTAAAAGGCAGGGGGGAAGCCTTTAGACAAGGCTGGCAGAGCTTCGTGGATCCACAAAGCAGACGCTGCTACCCACAGATCACCTGAGAAATATCAAGCTGACGTCCTGCTGCAGGATCTCCCCAAAGGAAATTGCCATACACTCATTCTGGGAATTTTCTCAGCCTGCCCCGAACTACCTGGCACACAGGATGTGACTCTCCTCCCTCTCACACTTTTATTACCTAAATTTGCATAGGACAGAGGCCAGAAGTCCCAGCTGTTGTTTGTTTTTGGTTTTTTTTTTGATGGTTTGGTGGCTGTGCCTAGCTGGAAGAGAGGAGGAGAGGAGGAAGCTGCTCCATTTATGACCCAGAACACCTGATCTGAACCGCAGCCAGCCGCGGACTTTGAGCCCTGAGGAAAGTTCAGTGCCCGCTGCTGCTGGCAGCCAAAACCTGCACTCTGCCCAGGGACAGGGCACGGGAAAAGCAGCTGAAGCAGGGTTTTGCTGTGAAAAACCGCTGCCACGGACAGCAAAAGCCTCACACAGCGGGATCTGAGCCTGCCTCTACCGTCACTTTTAGGCAGCTCGCTGCATGACAAACCTCAAGAAGCACAGGGAACGTTACCTGGCCGGGTTCCTTCAGCATTTGGGAACAGCCCAAGTGTTACCAGAGCTGAGCTGGAGAGGGAACAGCGTTAAGGATATCCCAAGATTTCTATCACCACGCTTGGTGCCAGTTTGAAACCCAAGGAAACCAGAGCACGATGTACACCCTACCCACAGCTGACCGGCCTTTGTTTCTGCCTATCCCTTGGTTTCGTTCTGGAATTTCAAGCCCTGGAAGTCTTTTTGCCACATACAAGGCTCCCGAGTCCACGTGAACTGCCACACAAATGGCACGGTGACTTCAGAACTCTGCCTGGTGCCAGCCAACGGCCTTCCTCGCCTCCATACCGACAGCAAGAATTATTTGGGGTTAGCAGGAGGCGAAATCAGCCACATCGAGCCCTCTCTCGCCCACAGCCTTCTCATTTTAAAGTCCTTTAGCACTCAGACCTGTTCTTTACCTGCATTAAAACAAAGGCTGCTCTGCCAGGCTTCCACCTGTAGGATTCATTTCAACCAGACCCAGCTCTTTGTTCCCGCCAGCTTCTGCTCCCACCCCAAATCCATCAGAGAAAGCAAATCAGGCTGGTCCCACAGCTTCAGAGGCGACCTAAAGGCCTTCAGGGCCTGTTGGGGTAAGACCCTGCTCAAAGCCAGCCCTCACTTACCAGCATAGAAGTGGTAGAAGGGCCACCAGACCGCGCTGTTGGGAATATAGGTGAGCAGAGAGGCCACGTAGCCCCTGTAGAACCCCCGAAAACCGTCAGCCTTGAAGATCTGCACGATGATGTCCTTGGTTTGGCCAAAAACCAGCATTCGCTTGCCATCCGGGTTCTGCACCTTGAACCTGCCCATGCTTTCCCCTTTCCTCTGCATCATGAGGTGCTGGGAGATGACATCGATGGGCACCGTGATGCTCTGGGCCACCAGGGAGGCCGAGCCCCCGGCCACCAGCGATTTGACGGCGTTGTTGTTGTTGTAGCGGGCCACGTACTTGCGAGTCAGCTCGTAGGTCGTCACGTAGCACTGCCCGGAGATCAGGGTGAAAGTGTTGACCAAAAAACCCCGGTAGAGCCCGGCCGTCCCTTCTGTCCGCAGGATTTTCACGAAGGCATCGAAGGTCCCGTTGTAGAGGCTTTTGCCCTTCTGGACCTGCAGCCGCGTCCGGATGAGCGTGAAAGGGTAAACGCTCACCCGGATCATCATGGTCATGCAAATCCCGAAGACGTAGAATTTCCTTTTGTCCAGGTGCTCCCACTCGATGATGGGGATGTTGCGTTTGTCCTCCATGGCTCCCTGGAGAGGGGCAGCCCCAGATTGACCTCAGAAGTTCAGGATGGATCCGGGTCCAGCTCTTTTATCTCGGGCACCTCTCAGGCTCGGATGTGCTGGCACCTAAAAAAAAAACCCACAGAGACACTTTCAGAGGACTGCTAAGAACTGGAGATGAGCCTAAACAGCCTCCACCACCCAACTTCACTGATTTTGGAGTTCCCAAAGAGCCCGTGGATGAACCATTCTGCTGGGGAAACCCCAGGAAGGAGGACCTGGAAGCAGTGGCAGAGCGATTTGTCGCCCTAACGGCGCTCTGTGCACGCAGCAGGTCTCACTCTGCTGCGGATTGCTCTGCCCCAAAGATTTGGAAAGCAGTTTGGAGAGGGAGGGCGCTGCTCCAGCAGTGAGCACTACCTTTGAACGAGCACTCGGGGATACGGCTCGGCAAGCAAAGCAGCTTCTGCCCGCTCATTCCGGGTTTGTGATGCTCAGGATGGCAGGATGCCACTTGTGGGTTCCGGGCTCTGTAAGAAAACAACCAAAATAAAATAAAAACAAGAAGTGAGAGGCTGTGAAGCCCCTGCTTGCGTTCCCAGGTTCCCTGCACAAAGCAGAAAATCAGACACAGGTTTCTGGGCACGTCCTAAAGCTGAAGGGAGACACAAGGCAGTGAAGGGGGGATCACGAAAGGAGGAGAAACAACGGGAGAAAAAGGCTTAGACCCCGAGTTATGCAGAGCATCCACATCGACGACAAGATCCTGAAAAGAAAGGGCTGAAAATCGCCGCCCAGGGATCTCTTTTCACATTCTCAGCATCCCAGGAGCTGAGGGATCAGGAGGGGAGCACCGGGTTCAGCCTCCTCCAGCAGCCCCCACACCCCTTCCCCAGGCCAAGGCTCGGGGCAGTTCCTCCCCTCCCCATTTTGCTCTCATTTGATGCCAAAAAAAAACCCAAAAACCTCCCTGAGAGGACAGAACCCACACACAGCCGATGGCCACTGACCACAAAAGGGCTTTCTTTCATAGAAAGCCCCCCCTAATTTATTTTCTTTGTGTTTTAATTTCTAGGAATCGCGCAGGCTTCGTGAGGAGAGCTCCACCACTCAAGATCTGGTCAGAAAGGCGAGACCCAAACCAGCTGTCATTCACCTCTGGCACGGAGAGGAAGCGAAGATGACGAAATTACGCCTGGCTGCCAACAAAATATTTACCTCGTGCCAGGAAAGCGCGCGGCCACGCGGCCTGCTGATGGGCAGGGAGTTAAAAATACCCCAGGAGAGCGGGGAAAATGCTCTTGTACCTACCCGACAGAGAGCTACAGGCCATCCTTAGTCAACTGGCTCGATAAATAACAAGTAACAAACACCACGGCTTGTCTAAGCCAGAGGTGCACGGCTTTCACTCTAATTAAACCCTCACCGCTTCGTTAAGGCGTAATTAGCCAGCAGAGAGCTTCCTGCGCAGGAGCTGTCTGCAAAGAACCTGGAAAAACGTGGTTCTGTTCCCATCAGGAGCCCCGCCGGCTTCAGGCTTTATTTAAAAACAATTTAAAGCCTGGCCACAACGCAGCTGCCCGGCGAAACCTCACGCGGGGTTGTGGCCACGCTCCGAATTCCTCCTCCACCCCAAACCCGACCTCGCAGAGCTCCCCACGTGGAAGCTGCACCCATGAGAAAAAATCCTCAGGAGGGAATTAACTAAAACCAACCTCGCTTTTTTTTTTTGGCATTCTCTCCACGTACGGCAGCGCTCGGCGTTTGGCACCCGAGCCAGAACTTCCCCGGGGAGCTTATTAAAACCCCATTTCCATTCGGGATCTAAATTAGAGGGGTGATGTCACCCGAAAAAGCACCGAATTGCTCCCACCAGGAGCTGAGGAGGGAAGGAATGCCTGAAACCACCAGCGACGTCCCCGTTCGACGGCCACGGGCAGATCCTCGCTCTGCTGAGAGCTTTGCTCGTGGCAACGCTCCTGCGGCAGCCAAAAAGTTCCAGTTTTGGGGCTGAATTCGGGCAGGCGGAGAGAAAAGGAACCTCTACATCTCCGAGGTCCCGTCTGCACCTCAAACCCAGCCCGACCCTTACCGGGGTCCCCCCTCGCGCCCCGTTTGTCCCCTTCTTGGTGCTGCCCCCTCAAATCCGCCCCCCCAAATCCTTCCTGCTCCATCCGGGGCTGAATTTGAGTCTTTGGCAGGCAGAGACGGGCCCTTTGTGTGCCTCCCCGGCCGCCTCCTGCTCCGCATACCAACGCCTCTGCCAGGAGGGCTGGGAGCCGGCCAGGGGCGGGCGAGCCGCCGCCGCCTCCCGCAAAATCCTGGGGGGGGGGGGGTTTCTTCACCCCGACAGCTCGGGAGCGAACAAATCCCAAAATGTGAAATTTATCCCTCTGGGATGAACCCGGCCGACGCAGGCAGCTCGTTTTATAAAGCTGGGAAATCTCCCTTCTTAAATTCCCCCTCCCAGGGAGTCTCAAAAGCCCCCGGAGGGGTGCGGATGAGGCTGAGGGGCTCCCGTGCAGGAGCCCCCCCGGGGCCACGCCGCCTCCTCGGTGGTATCTTCGGGAGGAGGAGGAGGAGGAGGAGGGGGGGGGGCAGCCGAAATCTGGAGCTGCTCTGAGAGGCTGCGAATGGCAGCAGGGGCACGCTCAAGGTCACGGTGGGGTCGGGAGTGGCTGTGTCCCCCCTCCGTGCCCCCCCCCGTGTCCCCTCCCCAGCTCTGCGGCCTCCATCCCCTCGAAGCCTCCCCCCGGGTGGCTCCGCCCCAGCCGCTCTCTGCGGCCTCCTCCTCATCCTCAGCTCCCCTCCGAGCATCCCTGCACCCAGAGCCCCCCCCCAGCCCCCCTTACAGTGCCCCCACCCCTCAAGGCGGGTCCTGCCCCCCCCCAAATCCCAGCCTCCAACCTCCCCCCAGGCTTCCCCCGGCCTCCAGCCTCCCCCTAACAACCCCAGCTCCCCCCCAACCTCCAACCCCTTCCCAACTCCCCCCAGCCTCTGGCCTCCTCCCCAACCCCCCCAGCCTCTTCCTCAGCCTCCAACCTCCCCCCGACCCCCAAAGCCTCCATCCCCCCCCACCCCCCACCCCCATCCCCCCTCAGCCTCCCCCCCACCCCCCCACCCCTTCCCCACCTCCCCCCAGCCTCCTCCTCACCCTCCCCCAGCCCCTCCAGCCCCCCCCTTCCTCCCAGCCTCCCCCCACCCCCCCCTCAACCTTCATCCCCCCTCAGCCTCTCCCCTCGGCCTCCAACCTCCTCCCAACCCCCCTCAGCCTCCAGCCTCCCCCCCCCGGAGCCTCCATCCCCCCCCCCACCCCCTCAGAACCCCCTCAGAACCCCCCTCAGAAGCCCCCCCCGGAGCCTCCCTCACCTCAAGCCGGTGGCCGGGACGCCCCCACCCGGCCCGGCCCCGCCGCCGGCCGCCCCCGCCGCCCCATGGCCGCTTCCCCTCGGCTCCCGCCCGCCGGAAGTGAGCGGCGGCGGCGGCGGCAGCGCGTCGGGCCCCGCGAGCCGCTCGAGCAATCAGCGCCCGCCCGCCGCCGCCATCTTGGGAAGGGCTGAAGCCACGCCGGAAGTAGGTCTCCCTCCCCCCCCCAGCGCGCTTCCGGCCGTAACCGACATGGCGGCTGTGCCCGGGGAAAGAGGAGAGGGCGGAAGGGGAGCGCGCATGCGCAGAGGGATGGCGCCTTCAAGGGGCAGCGCCAAATTGTTCCTCTTAAAGGGGCAACGGCTCTTAAAGGGGCAACGCCAAATAACTCCTCTTAAAGGGGCAGCGTCAAATAATTCCTCTTAAAGGGCCAGCGCCCCACCCCGCCTGGCAGTGAGATGTGCAGACGTCGCCCCCCCAACCTCGCCCACCCCCCCCCGCACCCACCCGCGCCCACTCCCCCCCCCCCAGTCCCGAGCTGCCCTGGAGCCAGCCGAACAAAATTGGTGCCTTTTGGGGTTTTTAATACAAAAACGAAGCTGTACAAAGCGCAGGGTGATTTGCAGAAATAAGGCAAAACGCGGCCAAGCGAGCAGTGAGGGGGGGGCAGCAGAAGGAAAATTGGGGGGCCCCAGGGCGAGGCTGGGGGCACCGTGGCTGGGGGGGGGGGGGGGCAGGACAACACCACCACCCCCCCCCAGCCCCGTCCCCGGCCTCCCCGTCCCCATCCCCACCCCATCCTCACCCCTTCCCCATCCCCACGTCCCCCCCTTGCCCCTTCCCCACCTCCCTGCCCGTCCTGGCGCACCCCCCCCTCACCCCCCTCCCCGCCACAAGGCCGCCGCGATGGCCAAACGCTACCACGTGTTAAAACAATTGTATTAAATTAAAACCAAAACCAAAAAAAAAAAACATAAAAACAACCAAAAACCAAAAAAAAACTTCACATTCATACTCCCCCTCCTTCCACGGCCCAACGGGGGCTCAGCTCCCGCGGCCTCCCCCCCCCAGTTGCTGGTGGCGGGGGTCCGGGCGTCACGCCGTGACCGGGAGCCGAGCGGTGCCGGTGCCGTCCCCTGGGCCGTTGTCCCCATCCAGCTGCAGGCAGCAAACGGGGGAGCCCCCCCGCTCCTCCTCACCGGCCGGGGCCCCCCCGTTGAGCGGTGCCTTCTCCCGATGACGGCCGGGGGGGCTTTGGGGCACGCTGCACCCCTGCACCTTGCTCTTGGCCTTCAGCTGCTCGCAGTAGGCGGCGAGGGCCAAGGCGCCGGCGGCCGCCAGGGTCACGGCCAGCAGCACGGTGACGGTGACAAATTGGGGCCAGTAGGAACGGGGGCCACCGGGGGCCACCTGGGGTATCCCAAGACAACCCCTCCTGGGCCGGTCCGTCTTGGGGGGTCTCTCCGAGGGGGTCCTGTAGGTGGTAACGAGCCACGGGCCAGGTGTAGCCGTTCTCGGTGGCCAGGCAGGTGTAGGTGCCGGCGGTGCCGCGCCGCACGATGACCACCAGCGTGTGGTTGGGGAGCAGAGCCCCCGAGCCCCCCCGGCCCCCCGGCTGCTGCCAGCTGTAGGTGGCCAAAGCCGAGCGCTGGGGGCACGCCAGGCGCACCACGGCGTTGAGCGAGGGGCTGAGCCCTAGGGGAGAGGAAAACCGGGCTGGCATCGGCCCCGCTGTCCCCCCCCCAGTCCCCCCACACCCTCCCCGCTGTCCCCAAATTGTCCCCGTTACTCAACTCTCTACCGGCAGCCCCTCGTGCACGCCGTGGGTGTGCGGCATGGCCAGGCTCCTCCCGCGGTGGCACACGGCGGCCGGGCTCCCCTCCTCGACGTCCTGCAGCCACCCGCTACTGGGGACGGGACAGCAGTGTCAGCACCGAGGTCCCCCCTCCCCAAACCCGTGTCCGTCCCCCCCCTGTGGCCGTCCCCAGGCTCACTTGTCCCCGCTGGCAGCCCGGGTGGGTTGGCAGGAGCTGCGGGCGATGTGCCAGGCGCAGTAGGGGTCTCGTGCCAGCACGCACTCGGCGCAGCTCCGGTGCTGGCTGCAGTTGGCCAGGGGCACTTGGAGGATGCCGCCGGAGTAGCCGATGTAGAGGATGCCCTGGGGAGGGAGCAGAGTGGGCCTGAGCCATGGTTTGGCCAGGTCCCTGTTCTGATCACATCCCCGTCCCTGTTCCTATCCCCATCACCATCCTTGTCCCTGTTCCTAAACCCTGTCTCTCTCATTGTTCCCATTTCCAGCCCTGTCCCATTCCCCTCCCCATTCCCTCCCCTTCCCATTCCCATCCCCATCCCCATCTCCATCCCCATTCCCATCCCTGTCCCCATCCTCTGTCCTTCTCCCTGTCCCCATCCCCATCCCCATCCCCATCCCATCCCATCCCATCTCATCCTCATCCCCATCCCCATTCCCATCCCATCCCCATCCCCATCCCCATCCCATCCCATCCCATCCCATCCCATCCCATCCCCATCCTCATCCCTCTCCCTATCCCCATCCCTGTCCCCATTCCCATCCCTCTCCCTGTCCCCGTCCCCGTCCCCGTCCCCATCCCCTACCTTCCCCGGGGCCAGCAGCAGGTTCTTCACCGGCTCCGGCCGTGCCGAAGAGCTGGATGCTCTCCACGATGTGTGTGCCCGCAGGCAGCTCCACCGCCTTGTGCAGGAAACCCTCCTCTGTCGGGGTACAGGGGGGGGTCACCGTGGGGGCCGTCTCCGACCCCAAAAGTGGTGACTGGGGCAGCACAGGGCGGGCGAGCGGGCTCCCCTGTGCACAAACCCACCGGTAGCCAGGAACATGACCCGGTACACGGTCCCCAAAATGCCGGGGGTCTCGTCCACCGCGATGCGCGTGTATTTGACGTCCGTCTTCACCAGCAGCGGCCGCCCCTGGGTGGGGGCCACCTTCCCGTCCATCAGGAAATGATCCTTCATGAAGGTCAGGGCTTTATCCGAGGAGGGGCCCATGGAACACTGCGGAGGAGAAGAGTTGGTTGGGGAAACCGAGGCACGGCCACCAGTACGGGCGCACTGGGATGAACTGGGAAATCGGGGAGGTGTCGTCCCAGGGCAGGAGGCACTCACACTCCCGGGGCGGGGGCTGATGTGGGGGCCGCTGTAGACGGTCCAGCGGGAGCTCTCCTTGTTCAGCTCCTTGTACTTGCCCTCGAAGACCTCCTCCAGAGCCTCCTGGCTGTAGACGCAGACGGCCGCGCTGCCCGCCCTGCCCGCTTGCCTGTGGGGACAGCAAAATGCCCGCGGTGCTGAGGACACGGATCCCCGGCACCCCCCTTCCCACGGCACCCACGGGTGCTGGGGGCTCACCACTGCGAGGTGAAGACGGCGTAAAAATCGGCGCCGCCGCTGCCGTCGCGGCGGGGCAGGGCGAAGGCGTGGTGGATGACGTTGAAGGGGAAGCGGCCGGGCTGCGAGCACACCAGCTGCGCCTTCAGGAACGTCGTCCACTTCTTCTGCAGCACCTTGTCCCCCCCGACGTCGCTCTGTGGGAGCGGGGTGGGCGCTCAGATTTTTTTTTTTGGGGGGTGGAGAGGGGTGCAGGGGTCCCCGCTCGCCCCAATCCTCGTCCCACCTTGCAGACCCGGGCCACCCGCGGCACCAGGAGCCTCTCGAAGAAGTCAAACTCGTCGGCGGTCTCCTCGAAGAAGAAGTAGACTTTGTCGTCGTTGGGGATGCTGAAGGAAGCCACGAAGGCGGCGTCGGCTGCGGGGCACGGCCAGGAGTGAGGTGCTTGAGGGGAGGGGTCCCTCAGGCCCTCCCCAGCGCTTTGGGGATTGATGGGGATGTGGTGGGGACCCTGCAGGATCCAGCTCCTCGCTCACCCGAGAGCCAGCGGAGGAAGGCGTCCGTCTTGAGCAGCGTGCGGCTGCCCAGCGAGCGGGAGATGATGGGCTCGTTGCCCTGGAAGTTGTTCATGGTGCCGGCGTAGAGCTCGCCATCTGCTCGGGGACGGGCACGGGGGTGAGCGGGCACCGGGGCGACCCCCTCCCACCCACGGATCCCCCTCAGCCCTCCCCGGGGGGACCATGCTGGGGGGCTGCCAAAGCCCGTACTCACCCACCAGCAGGGCCGTGTAGGTGTGCTGGGGGTCGAAGGGGCACTGGCCCTTCCCGTCCAGGAAAGGTTGGCTTTTGCCGCTGGACACCAGCGTGAAGTTCTCCAGGTGCTGCGGAAAAGGGAAGAAAAACCTTTTTTTAGAGCGAAAACGAAGCCAAAACCTGCAAAAATCCGGCTGCAGGAGCTCTACGGACTGCTGGAGGGGCTCCAAGAGCAGGGAAACAGAAGCAGGAGGGGTGGCAGGACCAGGAATTGGGGTTCTGTCGCCCAAATCAGACCCCGCAGGGGCAAAATGGTTTTGGCACCAAGAGCGCAGGACCCATGGTGCTGTGTCACGGTGGTGGGGGGCACCCAGCGTCCCCCTCCCCAGCCCCGAGGGCACTCACGATGTAGGTGCAGGCCGGGCTGAAGGCGTAGGTGCCGCAGACGTAGAGGTGGGTCTGGTTCAGGGCCACCAGCACCCGGATGAAATTGAAGCACTCGGTCTGCACGGGGGGAAAAAGAGCAGAAAGGGGTGACGATGCCGAGAGTCCCTGCATCCCAATTCCTCCCCCCGCCCCTGGGTCACCCCGCGGTGTTCCTCACCTCCCGGCTCTTTTTCTTGAAAGCACACTCCGAGGTTTTCTCAGCTGTGGGGCCCCACGTTATCTGGGGAGGGAATTGAGAGGGTCCGGAGCTGCCACGCAAGCAGGGAGCCCGGCCACGGTTTCCCAGCCCGAGCAGGGAAACTGAGGCACGGCAGGGCTTTTGGGGGGGGGCACCCCTCCACCCTTCTGCTCACCGAAGCTTTGGCATGGATGGTGCCCGGGGCGCCCACGGCCAGCGCCAGCACCCTGTCCCGAGCCCCCACGTACAGCTCCTCCTCGCCCTCGCCCAGGAGGAAGATGTCGTAGTGGGAGACGTTCTCCTGGCTGAAGCGGGTCAGGATCCCTCCGGGGGTCTCCTGGCAGGGGGTAAAACGAGCTGAGGGGACGCCGAGGAGGCGAACAAACACCCCGGCGCCGCCGTCGGCCCGGATGGATGCGGTGACAGCAGCTTCTTCCCCCAGCC